CACTTGGAAGTTGTGCGATTGTTGCTCGAGTCTGGAGCTGACAAAGACGCAGCAACTGAATCTGGGTCAACGGCTGTGCATATTGCCGGGCTGAGGGGTCACTTGGAAGTTGTGCAATTGTTGGTCGAGTCTGGAGCTGACACAGATGCGGCGGATACAGATGGCTGGACGGCTTTGTACATTGCAGCCCAGGAAGGCCACTTGGAAATTGTGCGATTGTTGCTGGAGTCTGGAGCTGACAAAGATGCGGCAGATACAGATGGCCGGACGGCTTTGCACATTGCAGCCAAGAATGGCCACTTGGAAGTTGTGCGATTGTTGCGTGAGGCTGGAGCTGACAAAGATGCAGCACATGCAAGTTCAATTGGGCCATAAAGACCTTTTAAACGGCAATCTGTTCCAGCACCACGGAGCTCGACCCTAGACGCCGAGGCATTTGAACGCACAAAAACACACGGCCAAAAAGACGCACAACTTAAAAAGAGAGAGACCAATCTGGGATCCTGAATTTTTTAGTGAAGAGTCTCTTAGTATCTCTTAGTCCAGGTCGTGTACTAGAGACTTCAGATGAGGGCACTAAGGGAACGCAACACTTATGATCAATGCATTAAATTCTAGATCTCCATCCCGCTTATCCTCGGGACTGGCAGCCTGCGCCAAAACAGAGCGGCGAGAAGAACGGCAAACCCGGCGCGGACCCATTGTGTTGAATCAATTTGTAGTTTGAGCGAAGTGTTTGGTCAGTATACCAGCGCCCCCTTAGCCTAAGGGGTGCCTAATAACAACAGCCCCTTGGAGGTGATTCGGGGTATGGATGCAGTATACAAGCCGATTGTTGCTGCTACGCTGATAGATCATCACACATATGACCATGACTTTTTAGTGATGTCGGTTTATGGCCAAGGCCTTTTCTAATCATGATCGCCCAGTCCACTGTTACCATTGTAATGGGGTATGCCCCACATATAGAACAGCATACCAGGGATATGCCCACAGCCACGTGACGTGTCATCAACCACAGCACCCGACATTCCCTGGATCCGGTTCTCAGGAACCCCGGGCAATCTTATACTAAAGACGCGCACACCATGTGGGTCGCAATTGCAGCCCCTAGGGCTCCAACCACCTGCAGGAGGATATGGTTGGAGGGGTGGTAAGATGTGGTCAGATGTGCAAGATGGTGGTAAGGTGGCCCCTAGGTGGTCTTATACCACCTTCTGGTGCATCAGATGTCAGCAAGATCCCGCATCGATCGAGCCGGTTCCAGTTCGGCACAGGGAGATTCTCCAGAGGTTCTCAAGTGACTCCGGGTCACGGGAAAACACATTGAAATGAGGTTTATATAATATATATTATATATATATATACCTGCGGATGCAGATTATACACCTTCAGGTACTTCAGGTATTAAGCACACTCTGACTCATTAGCATGGCAATGGAGAAGGGATTAGAACGGTCCCTTGGAAGACGACTTCCCCGAAAGACAGCGGGGGCTCCACTTCCATGTTGGTGAGTCAGTGCATACACCTCAAGACAATAACCCAAACGCTCCATGGGACTGCCATATATGCCTACATTGGGGAGGTTTTGGGGGTCAATGTAAGCATATACATGGAGTGTATGGGTCATTTCGGCTGGGAGAACCCCAGTTGCCCCGTGCTGAGGCTCCAGCAGAAGGTCTGGAGCTACATGTACTCCACCCGGAGGCAGCGCTTTTTACAGCACTTCGTGGCAAACGGTGTTGAACGAAGCTCAGAGTGCTCAGTGGAGTTGGGATGCCTTAGGGATCGGCACAGAAGAGAGCATTGACTGACTCAGAAGATAGCAACGACTTCTGCTGGCTTCCCCAGTTCCAGCAGAGCTGGGGTTATACCCAGCCTCCGCTGCAGGGGCACCCGCGGGGCGGTGGACAGCGAAGCATCGGAGGTGCGGACGGGTCGGAAGCTGCGGAAGCTGCGAACATGTGAGGTCAGGAGTCGGGTCCAAACAAGGGGTCCTGATGGTGCTTCTTCCCGGACATGAACTGAAGATACTTCGAGACAAGTCCACCGGACGCAGGGTTTCGGGGGGGGTTGGGGGGGTTTGGGTTTGGACCAACACCCATGTGACATGTGCATATATACACTTGGGGATGCAGGTTCAGCATTATATAGGGAGGCAGTTAGTCTGTTACCCCTAGGGCTCCAACTATATCCTCAGGTTCGGTGGCTAGACCCCCCAAACCACCCACCCCAACCATCTTCTCAGGAGGTGGGCCAGGAGCCCAAACGGGTGCAGTTGGATTGATTCCATTCCATTAGAGCTCGGCGATCCAGGTGAGCTAGCTGGATGGATGTCTTGTAATCTGTTCGTGGCCGGCATAGAGCTACTACCTGTCTCCCATCTGCGGAGATTTGATTTGGGTGTTCGGTCACGCGTTTCACCCGTTTCGGTGGCTGCAGAGGCTGTGTTTCGGTGGCATGGACACTCCAAAGGGCAGACTACCAATGGAGCTTGCTATACATATAAATATCATAAAATATACCAGGGCCCCATCCATTCATCACCCCTAGGGGGCCTGGTAGTTCATTAAATTACTGATCCAACGCCATGAGTTGAGAATTGTCTCCTGCTGCTTGGCGCAGACCAGGCGTCCTGTCGCCTGCTTAGCTGGCCACGATTTGAGAATGTGTTTTTCTTGAGGTTGGATAGATCTGAAATGATGTAAATCAAAGCCAATCCTGGTGTTGCTGATCAGGGGATGTTTTTCCCTATCGGTAATCTGCAATCCCCTTCTGGGGAATATGTGTTTATATGTTTTTGTATGTCTGACTATTTCCAGGTTCCTTAAGCAGATTCAAGCTATTCGATTCCTAGTTACAGTACATCTCCAATGGCACGTTTGTTGCTCGACTCACCGTTACATTCATATAGTTTCAGTGGTTCCCACACCATTTTGGAGTCAGATGCGACTCTGCCAGCTGATACCTCGAAGATGTTTCTTGGAACTTTGCAATCGTCCTCTTCGGATCCGATGTGCCAGCTTCGCTCTGCGAGCATCGTTGCCACGGTCCATGTGTGTCCCTCTTAGTTGCCGCGGGTCCCGCGGGTCCCGTGGTTGAACCTCACCGTGGTGTCGAAGCGTTCGGCACCTTCCGACCGGCCCGAACTGGGTGTCGTGGCCTCGCCACGGCCTCGCTAGGCCACGCCCTTGGCGGGCTTCGGTGTGGGCTTGCCTTTGTCCCGGCTCTATGCCGAGTGCGCCGGAGACATTTTCGGTGCGTGCGCGCTCGGGTTGGTTGAAACCGGCGGAGTGAACGGTTGGGTCAGAAACAAGCTGAGGAGGCAGGGGATGCGAGTTTTGGGGTGGGGGAAAGGTTGGGTTGATTTCAATTTACCAGGAGTCACAAAGGGGTGGTGTTTATAGTCACTAGTCCCATCCAGTGAGTGGTGGGCACCCCTAACCTCTAAGTTCGGCACCCCTTTGTGACTGCTGGTAAGTGTTTGATCCTGCACCACCCAAAGGATTGTAATTGGATGGAAAATGCATCTTCAGGGCTGTCTATGAACCACCCAAACTGGGTGGTGCTGGATTAGTCAACTTGTGTGGTTGGCACCGATGAGCGGCGCGGAATCGAATCCAGCGGCAGGGCGATGAACAAGTAACAAACACAGAGAGTCACGCAAGTCCTCATCATCGACAGTCAACTTTGATTGGCCTTTCCTTGTTGGGGTTGCTAGCACCCAGAAGCCAGAAGCCTTTAGCTAACTTGAACTCCCATCCAGGCAATTCGTACTATAGACGGTAACCTTTGGCTGCCAAGAAAGTGAAACAGCCCCCGCTGCGCGAGACGATTTTCTTGTACCTTTCGCAGTGCTTCCAAGAGAGATTATAAAGTGACCGTAAATAGGGCCGTAACCTGGGGTACCGAACTGGGATAGTCTTTTTGGGGTTCTTCAACCTTTGTTGGTTGTTGGATGCCTCATGCACCCTATTTGGATGCAGATGGGTTCGGATCACGCACCCCTTCTGCAGCGTTCGGATCAGCTTTTGCCCTCGCTTGGCTGCATGCAGCTTAGCAGCTTGGTGAGTCCTAAACATTGACCCGTTTGGGCGCCTGTCGTACCTCAGGTTCGGTATGACTGGACCCGAACATGGCACCCAGTCCCACCGAAACGACACGAAGGCGGTGGCTTGGCTTGGGGGGAATGGTCCGACTTCGCCAGGTACATTGGTGGCTCCTTGCAGCTGGTGAGCATGTGTCCCGTCCAAACGGTTCGGACTGCGCGACTTCGCCATGACGGAAGAGAGATCCATGGAACTGGAACATGTTCATCTCCGACCCGCCAGACATGGATATATGACCCAGACACGAGCTGTTTGGGACTGCCATAGGACTGCCGAGAAACGGGCAGGGGTGGTTGACTGGGGGTCAATGTATGCATATATGGCCGTCCTATGGAGTGTCTGGGTGATATAGTCAAGCTTCTTCAGATTAGGGGATTTCAGTTAATGATTCTTAATCAAGATTCTTTGCTCAGTGGATAACCTGGATAACCTTTTTGGTGATATTCGGGTCATTTCTGCTTGGCCACACATACACAAGTTCGGTCCGTGGAAAGTTCGGATCACCTTTTTCCAAGAATCTCTGGCTACGAGCTCGAGACGTTCACCCACGGGGTGTCGATCTTTTTTGCGGGATGTATGATTTCTCCCCTTCAACAGTGCGGACCTCCGCACTCCAACCCCCCAGCGGAGTGCGGAGTGGCGAGCTTGCTAGGCCCAACTTTGGAACGTGCCTCGGCTGAGTCAGCAGGTCCGAGAGCTCGCGTGGGCCGAGAGAAGGGGAAAGAACGGGCCTCGATGCTGAAGGTGGTTTGGTGGCCTCCGAGTTGGGCGGTGCAACCGGTCACCCCTTTTGTGAGGGGTTGCGGATTTAGGTCAAAAGTGAGGTGAGTTCCTGCTACATGGTGTTTCCGTTTTGGAGCTTTGGGGAATTCGGAGATCAGTCACCACAAGCTGCACAAACCGCGCATAGTGACAAGGTAAAGAGGTTATTATTTCAATAATGTTTATACTTATAACCTATAAGAGTCCATCACTTTACTGTCACATACTATACATGCATGAGTGATGGGATTTGGTTTTGAAGGGTCGTGTGAAGCTTTGTGTTCGATAGATTGTGTGATTCATCAAGGGTCTACCTTATACCCAGTGGATCCCAGTTACCACTATATAAGGAACCAGGGATTCGTTTGGTCTATGGTTTTAGTCTTCGGAGCCACTGGTTACCAGCTATAGTGGTTTGCCTGGATGCTCTGGGTTCCTACATGCTATGGTTCAACTCCCCCCTCGGACGCCTCTGGGACACCTCTCGGGCATCTCTTATGCACCCCTGCTAGCTTTCGTCACCTACCCTCGGCCTCAAGTTGCCTGTTGCCGTGTGACACGTGGCCTTTAGTTGCTCACGTTTCGCACCAGCACCCGATCATGTCCATCATGGACCATGCAGGTCTTTTCTTCAATACTGGCCAGTGGTTCCAGTTATCACTACACTGACTAACAGTCTAAAAACAGGGATTGCTACTAAACTATAGCTGACTCATGATTGTAATATCTTTATTTCTTTGAGAAGCTCTAAAAGGATCTTTAAATGTTCTCCATGACTCGTCCCGCGTCCATCGCCCACCTTCTTCATCCCGCGTCCATCGCCGACCACGGCCGAGTCGCGGCCACGTCCGAGTCGCGGCCAGCGAGGCATGCGTTCCTGTTCCTGGAGAGGTCTGACAGCCGCAAGGTGCGGAGAAAGACGAGCGGTTTCCGACCGACCGGAAACGGCGTGCCGTGGTTGTTGCCGTGCGATGGCGTAAGGGGCGCCCGTGGTGTGCACCACCGTGCGGAATTGGTGCACCCGCAGTTGAAAGAACACATGACCGGAGCGCAAAGCATGCCATACACACTCCTCGGAGCATGAGTTGGTGTGCAACTCCAAGGGCCAAGCAATTCATGTGAGTTCGGTTGTGGAAGAGATGGGTAACCAGGTCGGTGAGAACTCGATCTCGTGCCTTTTTCGGGTCAAGTTATGATCCCAGCAGGCGCCCTCGGGTGTCATCCACATGTTACATAACATAACCTGTTTTCGACCTCGTCGAGCTAGCAACGAGAAAGGAGGCATAAGTCACGTCTGCCATGGAGGGCCCTGAGGAGTCCTAGGGCCGGCCCAGGGCCATGTTTGTTCATGGGAAGTTCTGCCGTCCATTCATGAAGGCCAATCCCCTTCAGACATGTGCAGTTCATAGGCATTAGTCCTTGTCAGCTTCCTTCTTTGGATCCTTATGTACATTAGACTTGCTTGATGCTCAGATGGTTGGAAGCCTTCCTATTGGCCGCTGTTTGCAGCTTCCAGGTGCGAAGCGACTCGCCTCCCGGACCGGTTACGCCAAAGAGCCTTCAGTGGTTTTAGTGGTTGGCACTGAAAAACCCCAAGAGGTTCATAGGCCTCCAACAGGTTTTTTAGCTAGGGTCCACTAAACCACCACCGACTTTGGGGATAAATTAATTATGCCGTCCAGTCCGAAAAAAGATTACGGGAACTCTTCCCGCCACCTCCAGACGCAGGAAGGGATGCCCACCTACGTGAACTGGTTGCGCAAGCCGGGGGCACAGCAGCGACGGTGGCTCGTAGGCGCGAGGTCCCCGCGAGGCACGCTTCGGTGATCTTAGGTGGGAATCCAACAGAAACACCAAAAGCCTTCCACCAGCAGCACCCCACTTTGAGGGGTAAACCAGTTGATTTCCCATGATCTCCCGATCTTGTGTGGACCATGATCTACCTGGCTGGTGTTGGAGATTTGAGTTGCTGCTGGAATCACTTCCCTACAGATCCAGGGTCGTACCTTCTCAGGTACGGTGATGTGTTCGACCCTGTTATGTAGGTGCCAAAACGTCGGGTCCAGTCGTACCGAACCTGAGGAGAAGGTACGACAACGGATCCCTAAACCTGGTTGCCCATTGAAAGCCGACCCATCCGGACCTTTTCTCTCCGTCCTCCACTCGTCCGAAACGTCCGAAACCGCTGGGCTCCAGTCCGAGCGGTGTGCTGAGGCGACATTTGCTCGAAGAGTTGTTCGACATCGAAGCCCGGAAACGTCCGGGGCACCCGAAAGACCTGGCGCCGCAGCTCTCCGGGGTCGAAGATATCAGACTGGGTAGTAGACTGGGTAGTAGACTGGGTGAATGGTTTCAGATATGTTGTTCAAAGTTCAACAGTTCAACCTGTGACTGAGTGTGACTGAGTTTAAAGTTCAACAGTTTCAACAGTTCAACAGTTCAACCTGTATACTTTTGGTGTGACTGAGTGTGACTGAGTTCACAGGGTTGGTGTGACTGAGTTTAAAGTTCACACCAACACGGGGTGTGGGTTTCTCACATGAGTGAAACCCACTGACTGATATGTCATGTGAGTGGAAACCACCAACCAGAAGAACTACTTGCCTGCCAATTCAGGGTACGGGTAGTAAGTGTGTCCCCGGTGAAGGTATTAAATTAATTTTTACACGCGAACGGGGGAAGCAGCAGATTCAAGCTGCTTTTCGCAATCGGACACGATCAAGATATTCCGGCGATGGTGAGAGTTGCGCTTTCATACAGAGTTTGATGGTACTCCCTCATCTCCCCTACCCAGGAAGTACGTGGATGACCTGCAAAACCCTTTTGGGGATGGGGGACGCCCACTAAAAATAGAAACAGATGGAAACAGTTGTTCTGTTCGAGCAGAGTGCCAGCAGTACACCAAATCACAACGGCTTAGCTCGGTGGAAGAAGGCTAGTTGCGTCTTCTAAGATTCCAGACTCAGTTGAGGCACAGTGCCAATTTCCATGTTTTGGAACAACAGCAGTGCAAGTATGATCCATGTACAGCATCGTCCGCCACCGGCCATATGTACATACATTGGGGTGCTTCGTCCGGATCAATGGTAGATATAGAAACACATGGAGCCTTTGGGAACAGCAATTCCAGGTACAATCCATGTTGCCAATAATACATGATGTAAATTAGCAGGTGATTTTCACTGTGATTTTCTTACAGTGGTTTCAAGAAGTAGATGGCACAACCCCCAAGATGTCCTTTGGATTGGTTTTCTATCGCTTGGCTGCCCGAAGTCCTTTGGGGTCGCTGAAGAACCTCGATCTCCTCAGGAGCCGCGGCGGAGATCGAGGACTACGCAGAGGCGGGCGGGTGGCGGGTGGCGGGTGGCGGGTCGTTCCGCCTGCGGTCAACGAGCCTTCGACCGGTCGATCGACCGAGTCGAGGGGAGTTGGCGGATTTGAGGGTCCTGGGACCACCTGGTACCAGGGGCCCCACAAACCATCAATAACCTGGTTTTCCCTAGCAAAAAGCCTGTTTTTTGTATGTGAAAACCTTTGTTTTTCATGGTTTTGAGGGCCCCTGGTAGGTGGGACGACACCAGTTCTGACCGAGTTGGCGAGTTCGAGGTCATCTTCCGACTGCTTTGGGTCCCTGTTTTTCGTTCCGATCAACCCACGATGTCGCTGGTGTCGTCCCAGTGGTTCGACTAAAGCCGACTCAGACCGAATGAGGGCTCCTGGTTCCTTATAGTGGCTGCCTGCGATCCACTGGGTTTAGTTTCACCTGAAGGTTGTCGGAGCCGAGCTCAGAGGAGTGCAATTTCAAAAGTCGACCTCAGAGGAGTCGAGGGGAAGTCATTGGTTTCTATATAGATGGCAAGCTTCCTGACCCAGAAAAGTAGGATAACTTAAACATTTTTTGGAGGTGGGGAACCCCCCACTACAAATTGAACAGGTGATGGGATAGGCAAAACCCTTTTGCCCCTGAAGAGGGGCACGGCTATGTCGATGTTTTGCGCAAAGAGGTGGCGCATGATCCAACATGTCCCTACCGGCGCTGGGCTCCAGAGGGAAATGTCGATGCCGATGCTTCGTGGCATCTGATGGAGCATGGGCCTATGGCCGCTTTTCTTCTGCGCGCTGGTCAGCGCCGCTCCCTGTGATTCAGGGAGCTCCTCTGGCACTTGCACGCGGAATGCTACAGCTTTGAATTCAGCACCCTGGAGTGTTCTGACAGACTTCGATCTCAGACTTCGATAGTTCGGACAAAAGTTTGACAGCTGCCATTCGAGAGGAAACGCTGGAGTGTCAAAGGGCTTTGGAATATTTTGGAATCCTCAACTTACATAATGATTTAACACCCGCAACGTATGTATGAATCGATTGGAAAGACACATCATAAGACCTGTGCGTGCTCCTTTGTCACAGACTTGCCAAGAGTGCATCCAAGGCCCCGCTACTGCTACAGAAGCCTGGGGCGCAGGTGAAGTTACTTGGCAGATCAAGCACTAGGCTACCAACCAACCCTAGGGTTCCAAGCACCTTCTGAGAATGTGTTTGGGGTGGCTTGGAGGGGTCCAGTCATACACTCTCCGGAGTTACGACTGGAGCCCCGACAAGAAGAGGGAAACGGGGTTGTAAAGACGCAGGGCCGGCCGTTCCAAGCCACACAGCCAGTACAGATGGATCAAACACATTAAGCCACACCTGTGCTGCAAAGACATGGAAAACTAGAAGGAGGCCTTCCTTGGGGAAAAAACTCCGAACTTCGCATGGTGGAAGTGGAGTTCACCACCTGCTTGGTTCGTGGATGTTCATGGTCTTCCGAACTCGGGGCCAGGCCATCCACGTTGGCCCATGTGAGTTCCAGGGAGAGTAGCTATCCCAGACTCTCCATGGGACTGCCATAGGACTGCCGATCAGGCCAGGGGTGGTGCCAGGGGGGTCAATGTAGCCATATATGGCAGTCCCATGGAGCATTTGGCTATTTTTTCTGTTCGGGAGGTCACCGGCACTCGGGTCGGACTTTCCCGGCTGGCTGCAAGGGTGGCTGCATTGGGTGGAAACGCCAGCGGACCCGGGAAACGACCCACCCCTGTCACATGATCAGAATAGACTGAAAAGGTCAACCTAACATAGTTTGGGTCTCCGAGTTTTGCCTCAATAATTGGTGGATAGAAGTTCTGAGGGCGGGCGTAGAATGTGAAGTTGGACCCACGCCAGCAGCGCCAGCGGACATGTACCGACTCCTAAGATTCAGTCTCCGCATGTTCAATGTGCATGAGACATCATCCAACAAGTGCTGGGATAAGTATCGAGTTGTTTTTTTTCTCGGCGGGGTGGAACTGACCTGCTCACTTTGACGAATCCCGGCATACGTGATACAACTCTGAGGCCTAGTCATTACCATGAAGCCCCACATGTGCTGGACGTCCCCAAGCTATTCGCCACAGAGACGAGGCAGGGGAAACTGGACTTGATGCATGCATATGGCCCAAGATGGCGTTCTTTTCGATGTCTCCATCATGGTGTTGGAGGGTTGATGGACATGGCATTTGCCTTGGCATTTGAGTAGTGAGACCTCCCAGTCGGCCCGCGGCCCGGCCCAGTCGGCCGTCGGCCCGGTTCTCGGCGTCCACGCCTTTTCCGACGTCGGAACGGTCCAGTTGGATCTGAAATGTCCCTCTTCCACGTGAGAACCAAGAGAGGTAGCCAGTGAAATAGGACCCAACTGGGGTACCGAACTGGGATAGTCGAACTAGGGTTCCTTTTCGGATACTGGGGTACCGGTTCCTGGGATAGTCGAAGAGTCGGGTTCTTCAACCCACCTCTGGAAGGACTTTGGTGAGCGCCATGGGAAAGTTCAGTAGTGTCTCCTTGGAACGCTTCGGCCCCGCTGGAGTGCTGCGGTCTGAGGGGTGGAGGAGGGCTGAGGAGGGTGAGACACGACCCATGGGACTGCAGGACTGCCGAGAAACGGCCAGGGGTGGTAGACCTGGGGTCAATGTAGGCATCTATGCCATACATGGAGAGCATTGGGGTATGGTGAGTCCAGTTGCACAAATTGGATGGGACATATATACGTGGGATGCGGGGCTCTTTAAACCACCTGACCTGGTTGGTGATAGTAGGTATTAAGTCTTTTGAATTTAGAATTGTGCAGCGTCTTCTCCGCATGTCTCCGCCTCTTTTCTTGGCAGGGTTCCAGATTCTTTGTTGTATGTCCCCTCCAGGCCTTCCACGCTCTTGGATATTGTCAGTCACGGCAGAAAACAAGGCGACACAGGATTGATCCCGTTGGGCTCCTGGCCCACATCCTCAGGTTCGGTGGTTGGGGTGGGTGCCAGGGGGGGTCCAACCAATAATCCCTCCCACCCTAGAAGGTCTGCTGTGCAGTGGTTAGATCAAAGGCCTTTAACTCATCGTCACAATCCACTAATCGGATATAGCCAATGGAAGTGCATTAATTATGGGAGCCTCCCAAGTTGGTTTCATTCGCCATCATGAGGTGCACCACTTCTTCAACTCCGCGATGATTTTTGATTGGCGCCTAAGCAGGAACTGAGCGGAAGGGAACCGGACACCAAAGGACCAAAGGCTAGGCATTTTCGTGGTGTCAAACTTGGTAGAGATGTGCATGCTTATCAAATGCTCCTTGACAGCTGAACTGGTGCTGTGGATTTTGCGGGCACTGGTAGCTACCTCGTTGAACACCTAGGGAACTTCTTAGTCAGCAAAAGCCTAGAGCTCTCATCAGCTCGCTACTGACTGATCAGGTGAACAGGTGACAATAAGCTGCTGGAGAGCAGCATGCGTAGTTAGCGTCGTTGATCAGACGGACCATTGATTCTCCACCCATCATGAATTTGCCACGCCTTGCCGGGCGGGGGGTTCACGTCCGCCTCGACTTCCCCGAAAACGAGAGTGCGAGTCAGAGATTTTTCCATGGCCCTTTTGCCGTCTTCGCTCACCTTCATTCGATATTTTTTGTGGGGACGCCCCCAAATGCAGAACCAGATGGTACCTGGCACTTGTCCCTCTAAAAATTTACCAATTACGGACATCATTTTCCCTCGGCCCCGAGGTGTTTATTCTTCGTGGCGGCCTGTGTGGCCGTCGTCTATCGCCGCTTTTTGGCGCCTGCCTCACCCCATGCCTCCCTCATGGGCTCCTTGGCCACCCCGTCCTTGGTGTAAAACAAGGACGTGGTGCATGTGCTACGAATATCATGCGGTGAAGCCTGTAATTAGCCGGAGGCCTAAGGCTTTCTTTCACAAAGTGCAGGAATTGAAGAATGTTTTTCGAGGGGAAGCTAATCTTCCCAACACATGGGGCAGTTTCCATCTTTGTTTGCCACATGATGCTGGAAATGCAGAGCTTGAAGGATGTAGAACTGACGGCCCCTGCGGCCCCTGACGACGCGCAGCCCCTAAATACAGCTTAAGTTTTGTGATTCAGTATCTATACCTGGACCCTCCAAGGGGTGTCCAATGGACTACCCCACACTACCTATAGGCTTCCATTGGGCACCCCTTCAAAAATCCTGGTACCCCTCAAAGCTGCGCCAAGGGTTCCCGCAAGCATTGAACAGTACTAGCATTCTGTATTCTCTGTACGGCCGCAGTGGCCACAGTGGCTTGAAAGGGCTACTGATCGGGTTGAGGCCACTTACAGTGCCACTTACCATACCCGCCTCAGACGCGACGCAATTGAAAACTACAGTACATCTACCACAGGACAAAAACACATATCCCCTAGGGCTCCAAGTACCTCCTTAGAAGGTATTTGGACCCTCTAAACCCACCCCAGTCCCACCTTCTAAGAAGGTCCGACTGGAGCCCTAGGGATCCGTTTTGTGCAGTGCAGACTTTGCCTGATGACTGCCCTCTCGTCCTATCTCGTCCACTCAGGCTGGTTGGCTTTGGGCGCGGTCTATGCTTTGGTGATTTTCCTTCACATGGGATCTCACCATGGATCGAACTGGCTGGCAGGGTCACTCTCCTGCATGGTCGAAGCAGTGTGTTTCAAAGGATGGTGCATTCACTTAGTAACCTGTGTTAGGCCCTCCTCGACTCCCAAACCCTTTGCGAATTTGGGGCTACTATGGCGTCTGTTAGAAATCCATTGCTCGCAATCTGCTCTCAATCCACCTATATATGGGGATAAAAGCACAAAGGCTTCTTCAACTTCTTTCACCATCCAGCTTTTCTTCATGTACTTCTATAAGGTACTTCTTAGAGCTGATCTTCTTGGTGGAGAACGTCTTTGTCTTCCACGGCATCGGCGAAGCCTTCTGGGCCTCGCCCAAGCAGGTCTCCCGCTGTTTGGTTCTGGTGGCCTGGGCCCAGCCGCTTGGGCGACACAACGGGGCCGGTGGTGACGGCCATCAGGCGCAGGGGGTGGGTGAGACGACTGAACCAGGTGCTGCTCGGCGGGGGGAACAGTGAGGATGATAGGGTGATCGATGGAATCATATGGAATCAATGAATCAAATTTTTGGACTTTGAGGAAACCAAGAGAGGTTAAGTGACCTTATAGGGACCCTACTGGGAGACCCATAGGATGGCCTATAGGGTTCTTCAACCTCTGCTGGAATCAAAGGTATCAATGGAAAACGGAAAACGGTTGTGCTTTTTGGTGAGGATGGTGAGCTCGTGAAGGTGGATCCCCCTGTTCCAGCCGCATCTACGATGGTGAAAATGCAGCAGCGCATCAATGGAACAAGCACTGGAACTCATAGTAGGTTTGCACAATACCATGGGGTAGCTTCCTTCTGTCTTGGTGGTTCAAGTGGAAGAGCTTTTCGAAGACCCAGAAGAATGTTCCTTTGGGACTTCCAACTTTTGGCCCAAGATCAATCCACAAGCATGCAAGATGCAGTCAGACCTGCACCACGGAAGGGGTGGTTAATGGACACGCTTTGACCTCTAATGGGCTATTGATGGACATCCGAAATCCGTGGTGCAGTCAGATGTCAAAAATATTCATTTCACACCAGCCGCTGACCAACGTCACGGATGTTTGTGTTCGTGCACGAGCGACGCCGACGCTACAGACCCCCGCCGTGGCCGCTACACACCACTCCGAGGATTTTCTTCGATGTGGTCTTCTACATGGGCCTCGCCGAGTGGTTGAGGTCTTGGATCTTTTTGCCATACCTTCTGGGCATCTTGGCAAACGAGTTCATCGAGTTCATCCCTGTTTTTCCTGATGGGCGGGTGGGTGATCTCAGGAGGTGGAAGGAGCGACGGCTCGGGTCGGGGTATTCGCAATTTCCGAGCCGGAACTCCTAGTGGCCCAGGGAGTTCTCCAACCCCTTGGCTATAGCTCCAAGTACTATGTGGAGCCTTGAGGCAGTGACCCCAAACACTTTCTCAGAAGGTACTTGGAGGTGTAGGGTGCGGTTTTGTGGGTGCCCACATGGCGGTTTGTTGACCCAATTCTTCAGACGGAATTGGACGGTGTGTTTTTTACGTCGGAATATTTGGGTCGAGTCATTGGATCTGGACTTGGAGTCATTTGGTCGGTGTTGTTTTGGTGACCCAAAGACAACCCAAAGGCTGACCCTCGCAACTAGGTTTTTTTGTTGGGGGGTTTTGTTTGGAACCGAAGCAACATGTAGTATCTTGGCTCAGGTCCCAGGAGCGTTCGGGCCAGTTGCTTTTTCATATCTTTTCATCCATTCCAAAAAGCAAGTCTTTCCATTCAATCCTATGCAGTTCCTTAAGTGGAAGACTTCAGCACCTTTCGAGATATTGTTTAAGCGATGTGCTTGTCATCTGAATGGAGGATTGATGCCCAGATGCCGGTTCAGAACTGAGCCAGAACTGAGCCCAGTCAGTGCTTCATCCGAATGGAAGCCAAGGCCTGTGGCTCCTGAGCTTGGGTGTCTCAGTGCTGGGCCACGAGACGGCTGGATCACCCGCCGGCTCACCCGTCCCGGGTGGATCCGCAGCTGCGGCGCCACGTGACACGCCGAGTGGCCGGGCTGGGTGGGATGGTGGGGGGGGGGGTTGCAGTGCCGAAGGAAGCCGACCTTAAGAAGAACAGACCGGGAGCGTCGGGGTGCCCTGTCTGGAGATCCATAAGTAGTGCAGTGGCTTTCAGCCAGGTGACCCCGTAAGGAAGGTGCTGGGATGTATATTATAGCCACTATACCGCAATTTGCCAAGCAGCGGCAAGAATGACACTTCAAAGAGCCAGCCACAAACACAGGATCAACAACACGCAGGGGATCACGCTTGTGACTCGCGTGTTCCTGTGATCTCCATGTTGTTTCAAGCGGTGATGTCTTTCTTGCCATGTCATGACCCAGTGGATCGCAGGCAAACCATATAAGGAACCATAGGCCCTCCTTCGGTCGAGCTGGAACCACTGGTTACCAGCGAGCTCTCGTGGGAACTGCGATGCCTGGGAACCGCTATCCGATCACCGGCGCTGCATGTGGCGGCGCTGCGTGTCGACGGGTAGTCTGTGCTGATCATTCCCAGCCGTAGTCCGAAAGCTCCAGACTATCACGCTCCTTTCGGCCGTAGTCCTGCTAAAGATCAGCCGTAGTTGTGCTCCCAGCCGTAGTCCTTTCCTATCTGTGCTCCTGATTCAGGCTGATCTTGGCTATATTTCGACTATTGTCGACTCCTTGACTGACTGACAACGCGGGTGGCGGAGGAAATTCCACGCCTGAAAATGGTCCCTTTTATGTTGCAATCGCTTTTGTCCAGGTCGTGTAGAAGTCCTTCAAGAATAGCCATTTCCACATGGGTGTGAGTTGAGTTTTTGTCACGGAGATCCCCTTTTCTCCGGCTGGGTACACGGGTTTATTAGGTCCGAACCTTCGTGGTTCGGTCGTTGCCCACCGGCGGTTCGGTCGTTGGTCGCATGCTCGTCACGTGCAGGCGCTGCATCAGACTCCTCTGAAGCTCCCTCCAGCCCAGCTGCGGATATGCTCAGGTGCGGGGCAGTTGATAGATGGCCATGTCCAGGAGTTGGGGTGGTCGGTGACTAGACTTGGCTGACCACAGGTGTTCCTTTACACAAACCATAATTATGGAGCTATTTATTGTAACTAGTCCCAATATGGCTCCATTTCCTTAATAGTTTGGGGATGACCACGTTACAACCTACTACTTGGAGCAATTGTTTATTTAGAATATTGCGTGACAATCCTAAGGTCTGCTCAAGACAACATGCCAGCAGTTTGTCACCCAAAGTGAAATAATCATGGAAGTGGGTGGCATGGCCCGAAAGGAGGTATACCATTTTCCTGTACAAACAGGTGGTTTTTTCACTTGTTTCAAGGAGTGCATTTAAAGGAGGTTAATTGCACTCAATTCAACACACACACACACACATGCCTTAGTTCTTAGAATGAGGTAACCCCAGCTGCACCCAACACTGGCCCCGCCGCTTTGATGGGGCAATGGCATGAGCCCCTCATTGGGAAGAGGCAAGCAGATTGAGCGTGCGAGGTCCACGCCCCGAGGTCCAGTCCGACGTCTTATGTTTTGCTTGCTCAGTGTTGCATAGCCCAGACACTCCATGGGACTGCCATAGGACTGCCGCCCCATTGACCCCAGGTCTACCACCCCTGGCCGTGCCACTCGGCAGTCCGGACTGGCAGTCCGAGACAGGTCGCGTTTGGGTAGTGTTGCCCTCTCGTACCTGGGACCCGACCCATCCCACCCCGTACAGAGTTTCGAACACATCACCCTACCTGAGAAGCTACGGCTACCGTCGAAGGATCCCCAACCGACCGGGTTCCACTGGATACGACGAGACTGGTCCGGACTGGGTCAACCCTTCGGGCCACCAGGAATGTCATGGGCAGCCGCCTCGACATGGATGGGCATTGTGACTCAGGACCGGCGCGCGCGAGGACGCCTCGCGCGACGCGCTCGAGGGCGCCTCGCGCGACGCTCTTGGGTCCACCGGCGCGTTGGCGTGTCATGGGGTGTGTCACAGTCACAACTTTAAACGCACTGAATGAATACATGCACTTACCAGAGCTTCTTCGGAATCCCAGTAGTTCGACTCTCCCAGTACCCCAGATGATGGATCCTTGGTCAGGTCACTCAACCTCCTCCTTGGTCAGTGTACAACCTTTAACCCTTTCTTGGGGGCCCGCGCATGTTGGTCTTTGTGAGGATTCCTGGTGCTGCGCGAGAAGGAGATCAGGGTGCCGATCCTTGGACATCTTTTCTTGTGCCACGTGCCGTGTACCACGTGGAAAAGACTTGACAAATACAGAAAGGCTGGACAGTGGACGGGTGTCTTTTTGGGTCTGTTTTTAAAATTTGTTTTTGTCATTTGTGTTCGTTTTGATTTTCATGTTTTCCGTTTATGAGGTACCACAGGAATATTCGAGTCCTATGGCCTTATCCAGGGGTCACTTTGGACCCCTTGGATTGGCACAAGTTGCCCCCAAGCTTTGGACCTCCATTTTTTTCCAAGACATCTTGGGGTGGGGTTCGGAACGATGTTGTGATTTATTCCATGAAATCGAACGATTGGACCGAGTCGGAACAAGCACCAAATACATTTTGGTGTCCAGGTTGTTGTGGCTACTTGGGAGGATGATGATTTTTGTCGCATTTTTCGCGCAGAGCTTGCCCAGGATTCTGGACGTCGTCACTTGCGTGCTTTTGCTCGCGGATTTCTTCCTCGACATCGACGTGGTGTTGACCAAGATCGAACAAATCCCCAACACCTACGTAGGCACCACTGTCCGCGTGTCGCGTCCGCGTGTCGCGTCCGCGTGTCGCACCGCGGGGCCTGGCGGAGCCTTTCAGACGAGGTTGGATCCGTCCACTTCCGGACCTTCCGCACGTTGGACATGTGGAACGCACGAGCCTGGGTTTCCAGGTGCACAGGTTGGTTCCACATAGCTCCACATGGTTCCACCAATAAGTGGTGTGGATCAACCCATGATCCTTCCACATGTTTGAATGGAACCTCGAGCATCGTACTTCCAGCAACTCAACAATCTCTCGACACAGCTGATTTGACTGGGTGTTAAACCCGATAGAACCTGGAACGCTCCAAAAAGCCCATGGGTCTAAGGTGCCGGCACCGTTGACCCATTTGCTCCGCACCCATTTTCGGTTCGTTTTGGGCGACGGTCACATCAACCCCAGGCACCCCAAACAACCCGCCCGGCCGCAATGGATGATCGCAAGGCTTCAGTTCCTCCGCACTGGCCGCGTTGATGATCCCGGAACTCTTCGCTTTGAGTCAGGATCCTTGGTGATCGCCAACTTAAGTGGGCCAAGTTCTGCATGGATTGGGCCCTAACCTGGAGGTCGAGACCTCTCAGGTTAGGGGTGCAACTTGAGTAGGTGAAAGGTGCAAGAAAATCGTTGGCCGCCTCGAGGCTGTTTGGGGCCCTGTTTGGCCCTTGCGAAGCCACTTTTGGGTCTAGGGTGGAAGCAGCCAACAGAGGTATCCAGTGACTAAAAACAAAACCGATGTTTCCTGGAGACAAAAAGACATCAAGAGACCCAACAAACATCAAGAGACCCATCCAGTGGTCGGGGGCCTGAAGCCACTGATCTTTGTGATGGCAACGGGGTGTTTTTCATCCACGACTTGCTGAATCCGTCTTCTGGAGAGATTCTTTGGTCGCTCGGGAAGCGGAAGCGCCTCCAAGGAGATGTTATCCTGCTTCCCGCTGCTGCATTATGGGATCGGCGTGATCCTTTGCATCTTTGGCCTCCAGATGTTGCTCCAGGATTTGCTGGTGCCTTGGCGGAAGGATGAAAGCCATTGACCCTTAGACTCTTTGCGATGCTGCCGTGGAAGAGGTGAAGCAATTGCAATCGCTACGAAGCGAGACCATGAAACACCCCGCTTCATTTGGTTCAGCGTGATATACCCTGTAAGCTTCCAGCAGCCATTGTTTTCATGGCCTGATTCCCGAACCACCAGCTGTTTTGCTAAGGATTTTACACTACAAAAAGCCAGGTCAACCGAACTCTTTGAATGGTCAAACGGAAGCCGAACCGCGCATCTACACATACATATCATGATCATTTCATCGGGTTCCCCTTCACTTCGATTCCCCCTAAATGGTTGGGCCTTTTTTGGCATTCATTGGAGGCGCCCAGTTCGTTCGCTCGCCCGCCCCTGTGTCCACTGCGGCTTGAAGCCCCTGTGTCCACGTCGCAGGTCGTTTCTCCGCCGCGGTCGGCTGTCGAGACGGACCGGATCGGCGGGTCGCGTGGATCCGGTCCAGGACGATCCGTTGCTCGGATGTCCTGCCAGACCCCCCGGCAACGACCATTCTCAGGAAGTACGAACTCACCTCCGTTCGGCCATCCGAAAAGGAGGTACCTGGACCCTATGGGGATAGATCACTGGAATCGTGGCTGCAGCTCGCGCGGCCTGAGGTGATTGAGCCCTTGATCTCTTGCGCCTTGACGGTGCTCATTTTGGCCGCTTGTGTGGCTCGGAAGACGAGTTGGGCTCAGTGATGAGCTGTGGATAGCTGTGGTATGGCGTTTGGTACCGCCAATTTCAGACTCATGCGACTTGTAGGGAATGAGGGAATGAACCACCCCTGTAGCTACCTCAGGATCCATTCCCTGGTCCCTTAGTCCTTACCATTCAGATTTCAGTTATGTTAAACGCTGCTAGATTCATGGGTGTTACATGGTATCAAGGTAGCTGTCAAAGAGGTATGCAACAATTTGGCAACGTACAGTCACAAGCTTTGTTTGTGACTGCCAGCCTGACGCGGAGAGAGGGATCCCAATGTGCTTGCCCTTTTTTACAGCACTATACTGGCGCCGGAGTTGGACCAGCGCTGCCAGCTCCGGTGCTGGGAACGCGAAGGCCATTTGACACAAAAAAGTTTCACGAGTGATTTGGGTGACTTGGAATCCGAGCTTCTCAGAAGCTACATGTCACATATGATGAAGTCATATATAGTCATTTTCAGAAATCACATGAAAGAACCTGTAATAATGCGTCAAATGCTCAAAAATGCAACGCACATCGTGACGCCCACATCACAGTTCCCCCTTGCGTATCCATTTTCCTTCCCTCCCTCCTAGAGAGGTGGAACAGCCCTTTGTCGCCCATCCCATATGTACCACAGACCAGGGTCCTAGTTCTGGTCTCTCAACCTCTCTAGGCTCCCATTGGAACCGTCCCCTCCGCGCAGAACTTCCTGGCCGAACGGTACCGCCGCGAAGTGCACAGCGTAACCCGTCGACGGCGATCCCTGAGGTGGTCACCTCTGCGGTACGAGATCACTGGAGGTGGGACGGGCGCGACCGACGCCCCACCCACCCCGTTTCTGTGTGTTGGGATGCTGGGGAGAGGGTGGACGGTGTTTTGTTCTTTGGGTGCAGGATGGTCCCAGGATGGTTAGTTATGTGGGGGAGAGTGGGGAGATGCTCTTTTTTGGCTGGTGGATGTGTCTTGTTAGTTAACGTTTTGATGATTGCCCTGCCAGATTTTTCTTTGGGTGGATGGCTGACGGATCAAGTCATTTTCATTCACATTTTCCATCAGAGCAGAGCCTTTCAACCTTTGAATGTTCTCTTTCTGTATCAAAGATTCCATGAGGGACCAGCGTTATCCGTTATCACTGTGGCTTGGAAAACGTCGATGCTTCCTCGAATTCTGTTTCGAGTTGTCCCGTGGAAGCCTCATGATTCGCATCGCGCCACGCTGTCGGTCTTCGCATGGCCAGTCCGTTTCGTCCTTCACGGTTCCGGCGAAGGAGCCCCAAGCGCACCACTGGGGGGGCGCCCTGCGTCACGTGCACAGGTGCCCCGAGCAGCAGCTGAGCGGCCGAAGCTGAGCAGCGATGGACATGCGTGAGAATCATTCCACAAGCTGCAGATTTGGATGCTTGTTTTTGGGGTGGTCCAGTTGTTCTAGAATGTTGGCAGAATGTTTAAATGATGCTTCATCTTCACAACTTGGCCAAGTTGCGTGATTCTTGGCATTAGATCTTGATCATTTGGGTGAAAGGTGGTCCACTTCCACTGGTGAATACAAAGCGATGGATCCGTGGGTCCACGTTACAAGCACCAGCACAGCACTGTCTTCTCTCAGAGGCAGTCCTTTCTCATCCACATGACCTGAGTCGGTGAAGTCGGGTGGGCAAACGACCTCCCGCCTCCCAACTGTTGTGGCCTTGGGCTTAGTAGTCTCAGGGCTAGTCTGACAGGGGTCGCTCTGACGGGGGTCGCTGGACGCCGCCACTTGACGGGTGGACCGGCAAGGTCGGACCTTCTCGGTGGAGTACACCGCATCGGGCTCCAGGAGACCTCAGTCCCACCGACACGAAATGAGTTCGGTGCGACTGGAGGGACTGAAATCATCACCAGACACGACCTGTCTGGGACTGCGACGGACTGCCGCCCCAGAAAGATATCCCTGGCACCACCCCCTGGCCGTGCCACTCGGCAGTCCGTCTGTCAGTCCCATGGAGTGTTGGGCCCATCATGGCCCCTTTCGTTCGGATGACCCATGAGTTCCCTGAAGACCTAAGTACAGGTATACGTGTGGTTTTCCGCGACACCATGTTTCGTGACATGGAGCATATTGCATAGGACATTAATGTGGGTTTGTCCTAATTCCTGTAACAGTCAGTAACAATTAAATCACGATTTTTGAACAAGGCCTTTACTAACCATCATCATCCACCGTTACAGGTATTAGGATAGACCCACACCTTAATTGAGTAAGACTCCTGAATAGCCTCGGGGGAAAGATAAGAAGGACATGAGTCATGAGATCATGAATCCATGGAACCCCCTGCAGCATCCTGCAGCATCGACTTGGATTCTTCAGTGACTCCTAAAGCCTTAACCCACTACAGTGACTACACTTGAAGCAGAAGGAGAGTTTCTGCGCAGCTGAATGTACAACACATCCAGCAGCAATGACGACCATAAGTGTCAACGATTCGCAGGTCAGTAAAGAGTTGAGAAAAGGCCGGGGTGTTGCTGTCCAGGCTGTCCTGTGTGTGTTGCTGAACGTGTTGCCCATCAGATCAGGTGCCTAACTCACGAAAGAGATCGAAAAATCCCCTTGGACTGGGTGAATTCATCACTTTGGTCCGTCCCAGTCACCCCTTTGATTGACAGATTTTCTGATCATTTGATGACAGATCTCACATGATCTCACATAATAGTAGTCTGAGAATTAACTAGCCGCCCCCGACAGATTGTACACAGGCGAGTGCATATATTTTGTCCACACATGTTTTGTCTGAGGCTATGCAAGTCCGGTTGAAACGCCTGTAGGACTTTGATGCCAAGCCCACTAAGCCCTGTTCACGCTGGGAAGTGCCTTTTGTTCCGAGCTGGGCAAGCCTCATCGACTCATCTCGATTCCAGCGAGCTCGTGGTTATGACGAGTTCACACATGGTGTGAGAGATGCTGCCCGTCATGTGAGAGATGCTCCAGTCACTCCTGTCGAATCATCTCGGAGAGGGGCTGACAGCTCTCAGATTTCGGGGCCCTGGTAGATCGATGGTTCTCATGTTGAAAGAGTAGGTGGACTAAGGTCCACGCTTTTGCCCTGGTTCTCCAGGGCCCCTCTGAACCTACTACCAGGGCTGTGAGATCTGACAGGTGTCAGCCCCTATCCTCGTCCTCAACAGCCTCGAAAAGATGCTGATTAAGGGGCGCCCATGAATTACCCCTTTTGGGTGCTGGTGCTGATTGCTGGTGCTGGTGATTTGAGAGTAGACGGCACAATCCCCTACGTGTCTATTGCTTGGGGGGCATAGAGACCACCTTTTTGAGATTGTGCCATCTCTGAAAACCACTTGGGGTTGGGGACCACGGGAAGGTTTGGGAAGGAGACCAGCCTACCCAGCCAAGGGTCCCCTTTTAATAATATACACACAACGGGCTTGTCCCATTACCGTTGGTAAGCAAGAACATCACTTCTTTTATATAGATGGAAAGGCCTGCAACCAGGCCCCATCATCATCCGTCATTGCTGGTTTACTGGGTCAGTTTCATGGACTGTTTGGGGGCAGCACAGGGCCTGTAGGAGCGTAAGCAGGATTTTAAGAAAGTTATGCAACATACGCAACATACCAGGAGTCACAAAGGAGTGGTTTTTTAGTCACAAAGGATAATGGGCATCCCTAACCTCCATTAAGCACCCCTTTGTGACTGCAGGTAGGGGTTTAATAAATTTTGCAGAGCTCAGGTGGTAGGACAGGACCCCACATCCCCAGCTGGGGCACGACCTGCAGGCTTTGCGCCTGAAAGGCTTGGCTGTCGAGGCGCGACCTCGGTCGGGCTCCAACCACCTCCGTTTCGAAGATGGTTGGGGTGGGTGCCAGGCGGGTCTAACCACCTTCTGAGGATACGTATGGTTGGAGCATGTTGGAGCCCTAGGGTTGCCACTAGGTATATGCCCTTTGTCACTAGTAGTGATGCCCTTGTTTCTAGTATTAGTAGCCCTTGCAGGTCTGGACGGATATTGATGGTTTGGAAGTGCGTGAAGGAATGAATCATCAAGTGAAGCATGAAGCACCATAAGTTAAGCACGTCCAAGTTCTTGGGTAGAAAACACACATGAAAGGAAAGGACTATTTTCGCACGTTTTCACTCTCCCACACCATGGGTGTTCTGTAGATCTGTAGATGTTCCCATCAAAGTGGGGCCAGCTTAAATGATTTTTTTCATGATCTTGTTTTCGAGTCTTTCTTAGTGAGCTCGGTTGCAATGGTACTCCCTTCCCGCAGAAGGGAATCAACAAGACAAAGAGTGCATTCCTTCGTGTATTGACCGTTCGTCCGGAAGAGGTTAGCAATGGCAGGCTGCTACACACCCTGGCAGCAAAGATAGAGCCTGATGAAGGGAGCTCTCCAAGACATTCCAAGACCCTGTCCAGCTCCAAGTTCTTTTCTGCATGTTATATACCAGGATCATCCAATGGGTGTCCTGGCTAGACTACCCTACTTATAGGCTTCCAGACAGGGCACCCAGACAGGAAGTGCTAGGTAAAATGTTTCATGACTGCAACCCCCCAGCATCCCCCACCTGAACCGTGCGCGGTTCCGCACGCGCCTCAACCACACCAGGTCCGAGCCAAGCTGAAAGAGTTCGAGGCAGGTTTCGGGCGGCTCCTCGGACGAATGAAGTCCTGTTGGACGGGCTTCCTCGGACGCGAATCAAATGGGGAGTGGCACAGGTTGGTTGAAAAGTCAACAGATTTCGACAAAAAAACATGGAAAGAAAAGCATCATGGAGTCGGTCAGCACCCTGTGTGGCATGTGAGTTGGAAGGGCAGAGATCCATCTAATTCGGTGCTGATGTTGGTATTGACTTTCGCTGCCGTTCAGTTATGAACAACTTGCATGTGCCCCGTAGCTTTTTGGATCCTGACATCTTCTAGAATATGAAGAACGACCGGTTCCACCGCACGTACAGACCCAGGCTCACAAGCGAAAAGAACATCAACCAAGAGGATAAGCCGCTTTGCACGGAGTTCCAAGGCTTCCTCAGATCTTCCAAGTATTTTCTATACCTCTCCAGCCGCGAGCTGGGCCCTCAAGTACCTACCTTGTGTCTCCAATGACCCTTTTAAAAAAGATGTTTTTGAAAGAAAGCACTCTTTTTTGCATATGCCACGAAATGTTCCTTTTTTGTTTGTGCCCTGTCAGATCCTCCTTAGACAGTGTCCTGAGACACTTTTTCGGCGTCCAAAACGCGTCTTTTTGCGTCCAAAAGGCGTCGTCTTTGGAGACTCAAGGTGCACATCCCATCCAGCTTTTGGTGAAAAGCCCATTCAAAAGACCCTCTCAAAAGAAGACCCTCACGGAACGCTCCTTCGACTCCTTCCACCAAAACTCACGCACGCCTCACCAACCGCGCCCCAACCCGGCCGCTACGCCTCGCAGTCGACCGGTCCACGCCATGCGACCGGGCCGGCTCGCGGCGGCGCGCGCCCCGCACGGATCCTGGGGGCCCGCGCTGCCGGGCTGGCGAGCCAAGAGCTGGCAGTTTCAGGGCTGGAAAGACTGCGACCTGGCAGCGCGACAGCGGAGCCGGAGCCGACCGGTAGGTCCGATCCGCAAAGCCTTGAGATGATTGGAATATGAGTGGAGCATACCAGGACCCTCCTGTCGGGGTGCCCTGTTTGGAAGCCGAACGGCCGGTAGTGTGGGGTAGTCCAGCCAGGACACCCCGAAGGTCGGAGGGTCCTGGTATACTGTTTTAGGATGACCAACTCCAGTAAGATCAGGTCAAACTGACTCACTGACCTGTGGGGTGATAGTGGATGTTGGGGTGATAGTGGAAGATTGACCCATGGGAAGTTCCATATGGAACATGGGAAGTTCCATCCAATGAAAACCTTTGGGTTGGTTCAGATGTTGGAAGGGTCACAATTGGTGAATCTTCCAGTCCCATCGATGGTCACCGGTGCTTTCCAGAGCTGCCTTAAATCGGAAAGCCATACTCAAGCAAGCTTCAACTGCATGCTGTGTTTTTTCCATAAACTTCCACTGGCACCAGCCCACCAGCCCTGATGTTGAGGCTCAAACTGTATAGTTTGCAATCCGGGTCCTGGTTCTGTCCAATGTGTCATGCATCGATGGTGATCAGCCAGACACCTCAAAAACCCTTCGGTTTTCGACACATGTTCCAAGCAAACGTCAACCCCCCTTGTTTAGAGAGCCTATTGCACAGACGACAGATGATGACATCCTCTGAGTCAGCAAGGAAAATGGCTTTGGCTTGTTTGGGTGGTCGGCCGCGCCGGTTTCGGATCGTCAAGGTTACTTGGCCTTCAATGACCCACCAGGCGCTACACCCGGGGGGGGGGCGCCTAAGTGGGCAACAGAGTCCGGGGTTCGAAGTAAGCGTATGTCCAAGACATTCTGAGTGGGGATCTACCTGCTTTTCTACCTATTTGGGGTGGTCTATATGCATACCATGACATTCCAACTTCTGGAGATCCTGGGTTCCAAGCTGCAGACCGCGTTCTACGCGCCTGAATCCCTTTTCTCGACCCAGAGGCGAGATGTTGCACATCATCCTGAGCTTGCTCCGAAGGCAAGAGGAGCCGGTCTTCTCAGCACATGTGCTGCGACGATGCGATACTTCCACACGCGCCGGGGGAGGTTCACGGGCCATTCCTTTTGCTACGTAGGTTTTCTATATTGTTTTCTTCTTTCAGAGCTGCGGATCATGCTGCTTCCACTGAGGTTTTGTTGAGTTATGAGTTCATGCCGGCATGGGATGATCATGGTGTCAGACACAACAACCACTTCCTGCGATACTGTTCATGGTGCTTCGAGGTTTTGGCCCCCACCCGAAGGAACCACACATACCGTACTCAGCGACCTGCTTCGGACCCATGGAGCCTTCGGAGCGTCCGCGCGCTGCTCCAGGAGGTCGACCAACTCCTCAGTGTCCTGGCCGCGACGAAGGGGGGCGAAAAAGGACGCGACGAGCGATCGGAACTAAGGGCATTTCTATGTGATCAGCGGTGTAGACGCGGTGGTTCCAGGGTGGGTTGGAGAGTGGGTTTGGGTGGGGGAGCACTGGGGGGAGCTGGTTTCCAAGCAGGGCAGCAGGGAGGGCGGAGCGGTAGGGCTGGAGTCTTGGGTGTTGGAGGATGCTGAGCATGCAATTTCAGTTTTTTGGTCCCGACCACTTATTATAACTCGTTGGAGTGTTCCACCCAGAGCATCCAGGCACACATCAAACCACGATGTCGCTGGTAACCAGTGGTCACTGGGATCCAAGATGTGTAAAACACCAGGTTCCTTGAACATCCAAGGAAGACCCAAGGAGCATCCAGGCAAACACATCAAACCACTGAAACCAGTGGCAACTGGGATCCAATATGTGTAAAACAGCAGGTTCCTTGAACATATTTTGCTGACTCAGTGAGTCGTTAGCATGATGCGTAGCCGCCGTTTCACGTGTGATCTTGCCTCATCTGCGAGGCGTGTGGTTGGTTAGCTGAAGCTGGTTGGCTTGCTTCGTTCGCGGTTTTGCGGATCGGTTCGATGTTCCATGGGAATTCTCTGCCTTGGAGCATTTTTTCCCCCAAGTCGTTCCTTAGGCTCGTTGGCTGGTTGACCAGGGGGAGATATTTGTTGAAGTTTTGACCATCATGTTACATAGCCAGAAGTCGTTATTAACAATGCAACTTTTTCAGTGGATTGGAATGGGCAGGTCCAAAGTGAGATAAGGCTCAGCTTTGCTTGAACAAGGGCAGGTGTCTTTCGGGAAGTCCATTCATTTTGAGAATTCCACTTTGAATTTTGGAAGGCTTCAATTCATACCATCATCCAAACCATCATCCAAAACATATCAACAACGTATCATCAAAACCACCGAATCATTGCACCCGTACGGTACACCAGCACCTCATGTTTTCCAGCACCTCAGGTGTTGCTGGATCCTTGAGCGCGCTGAACTTACTCCTTCCTTTGCGCCCAAAGCAGGCCTTTCCGTCGCGTCGCAAGAGTTACGCCTTCCGGAGGGCCATGTGTCCGGAGGTGTTTCCATGCATCCGAACTTCGGAGAGTGCAAGATGTCGAACTTGACCAGGGGCCTAGATGGCGCGTGATGGCAGCTGCCAGTGGTGCTGCCCTGTAAAAACGAGAGAAGGAAACTTCAACACAGGCTCCGACCCCCTTCACTGGTGGTAGGATCAGGCCTAAACATTCGGCCTTCGTACCATTCAGGGAAGTGGAACAGGCCCAGTTGCTAGAGGAAGGTGGTCTTCCACTAGGTCCAAGGTCTTTCCCTGCCTACTTTCCATTAGGCAGTTGGAGAAAGTGCGTTCTTTGTGGGTAATGATCGATTCCGTAGATTGTGATGTTTGTTTCTTCTCCGTATGCTATGATTTGTGGCGTTATTGTTTGGATGAAGGTGCCAGGAATCCGCACTTCCCAAGGCAAAAGCCCTTGGGGTAAGCTTTCTCCCACCCAGGGATACCCCTCCCCGGGGCAACTCCCCACCCAAGATCGAGCTAAATGGGTCGGGGGTATCCTATGGTACTGTCATCATGGACTAGCATGGCATAAGAGTATGGAACAATCAGCTGGCAAACAACAAATAGTACAAGAATCTCTACAACTATGTGTGTGTGTTTCCAATCTCCCACTACCATACCCTACAAGCATCCAGAAATACCAGGAAAAAACATGCATTTTGGGGGTCTTCCACCTTTTGGACAACAAACACCTCTGAAACAGCCGCTAGGTGCATTTCTTCGCTCCTCGGCAGAGCGGTTCGGTTCTGTTCCACCGGCTGGCTGCGCGCCGCGCGCATTTGGGTTCCAAGCGTGTTGTTTGGATGGGTTTGGATGGATTTGTTTGGATTCTGGTTGCCACAGTTGCCACTGAAGTGGAAAACAAGTCAGGAATGAAACTGGAGGATGTACTTGTGGATGTAGGACTTTTGATTCCCTACAACACTTAAAAACTAAACTCCTACAACTCCTAGTTTACAAATCCCATCCTAAACGAACGAGTGACCAGTGACCAGAACCGAGACTGGAACATATGTCGGCCACCTAGTGCGCGTGGAGTGTTTCAGGGCGGACCAGCGTGGCTGTTTCCATCGACCGGGTCAAGGGTTTACGTGGTTTCGCCATCTCAGAGAGGCCGCTGGCAAGCCAAGAGAAGTTGAGAAAACCTATACTGAGCTGTATACATACACAATTATTTATAACATCTATGCATCTATAATATATAAATAGATTGTATAATATATATATATATACAGATCCTTCTAAATGTGCGATGCATTGCCAACTTTGAATCCGCTTGAGTCGGAGTGCGCATTCATCTTCGCAAGCTTCGAGGACATGAACCCTTGTGCCATCGCTTGGGGAAAAATGTTGCTGGAGTTAGCGCCCTGTTGGCAGCGGGAAGTGGCAGAGGAGTCTGTGTTGGGGTATATCGTCGTGGTAGGTTTGGAAGCCGATTGTTGGCTAGTGCTAGAGGGCAGGAGAGTATCGGTGCTAATGAGCTAGTGCTTTTCAGTATCGCCATGTGAAACGAATTACTATTGGAACCCTGGAATCCTTGGGTTCGCTCCAATTCCAGGATCCGTATTGCAGCTGAAAGCGTCGCGTGGCTTTAGCCCCGGGTATCTAACGGTCAACCACCTGCACTGAACTGTGCTTCACCGGTTTGCAGAGTGGTGAGGTGGGACCTTGCCGCGCTGCAGTCGGAAGCGAATCGACGGATTTCTCCACCGGAAATCGTTTCGCCAGCACGATCAGAAGCTGGAGTTCTACCTTTGCCAGGGCATCCAGTTACCACTATAGCTGGTAACCAGTGGTTCCAAAGACTAAAACCATAGACCGAACGAACCCCTGGTTCCTTAGTACTCGTGGTTTGCCTGGGATCCACTGGGTTTGCCATGACCAGCTTGACCAGATGCTTCAATCTAGACCGACTTTTGGAGCTAATCAAGTCATTCCCTCCTCATTCTTCTTCAAGAAGCCGCCTTGTCTCTTCACCCTTTGGACAAGATCCCGAGTTGAAATCAGTTTGATAGCCCAAAAACCAACAGAGGTTAAGTTATAGGACCCGTAACCTGAGGTACCGAACTAGGATAGAGTCCATAAGACTCGGGTTGCTGCAACCTCTGGATGCTGCAGCCTTTGGATGCCGAATACCACCAGGTGAAGATCTCCTCTTCTCCGCAGCACTTCATCACCCACCTCTTTGCCCGCGACGTCCACGCCTTCGAAGCGCAGCGCTCCACGCCGCTGACAGCGCTTTCGCAGCGGAGCTACTTGCAGCGACCGGCGTCGCCCGCGCTGAGGCGGGCGGAGCGGGTCGCGCGGGGTCGCTGGGGACGGATCGTTCGTTCATGGACGACATAGCTCTAGAATGCTGTAGATTAATTATATAGCTATTCTAGACCAACTTGAACCAATTAGTCCAATTCAGCAACCCCTGAAGTGTTCTTTTGCAGAGCTGTTGGCACCCATTCACTGCAGGGCAGACACTCAGCAGCTGCTCTCCAGTGAAGCACGCAATGTCTATCGAGATGCTTTGGCAGAAACGTGCGAGCCGTCACGAGCGGTCCTGGAATGGTTTCACAGAAAAGATGCACTCCCCCAAAAATGATATCAGCTACACCAAAAAAACTGCAATCAAATGTATGGCTTCGTCGGATGCAAACCATATGTATATTTGTATAAGGGATTGTGCGCAGATTTGGGCCGTAGCTCATGTGGACCACAAGCAGCGATGAAGTTGTAGCTCGAGAGAACATGATCCCAACCATCATTGATTTGAGGTGTCTTACCAAGCAACCCATTGTTTTACAGTACCCAGGACATTAGACTACAAGTCACCAGCTCAGCCGAGCCACTCAAAAAAAGGGAAGCTCATGTGCGGTTTCTCCGGGTTCTCAAGATGAACATCCAACAGAGGTTCAAGAACCCTAGTTCGGTACCCCAGGTTTTCCGGGTCCTATGTACGGTCACTGGATACCTCTGGATGTTCGGACCAGGATGTTCCGGCGAACCGGATCCAATTGGATGTTTTGCTCCAAGTACAGTTGGAGTGGTCCAGAAGCAGGAGAAACACAGCCTTCCAGGACCCTCCTCTCGGGGTGCCCTGTTTGGAAGCCTATAGGTAGTGTGGGGTAGTCCATTGGACACCCCTTGGAGGGTCCAGGTTTATGGCTTCATTTGATTGATTCATTTGGGTGAGGACTGGTTGAAATGTGTGGGCACATCTATTTTTTGGCCGTCCCCACTGCGATGGCACGCAAGTGGACTTGTGTTCGTTCGAAACCATTCTCTTGCTTTACTAGTATGTGTCCATTATTGGTCCATTCTTCAACTATTCAAGCATGCTTCAACTATTCTTCAACTATGCTTGGTATGTTTGCATTCTTCAGTTCTTCAAGCATAGACATCTCAGATTTGATATCTTTGATTCCGTATGTATTGGAATAGTTCGGCTACCCAGCCCATGGGTTTTTACTTTCAGTCCATGTGGATCATGTGGTCGCCGGTCTTCTGCCGGATGCTTGAGGAGATCATGGAGCCCTTCCAAGAGGGAGTCCACCGGCCACAGTGGCACACACCCTCCGTGACGCCCTGCGAAGACCCACAGCGCTTGTCGAATTGCACGCGCTCACAGCTGGGGGCTCAGGGCAGATTGCCTGGAAGCTTGGCTGCTTGATCGTGTAAATTGCTTCTTTGCGTGGAGGGGGGGATGTATGGATGTGTGATTTACCCACATAGGGTGAGCGTCTGGCTGGGGTGGATGTTGGATGGTTGCTACTCGGCTAAGAAGTCACACAGCTTCGGTATGACTTCTGGAAGGATTGCCGACTCAGTGCTCGGATCAATTTTGAGAGGTGCACTGGTCGAAGTGGAATTGTTTGTCCGGTGCTTTTCGGGAATTGTGGGTCAGTCGAGTTGCTTCTAACTGCATGTGGGGCTTCAAGGACCTATGAGTACTTTGACTGCAGCCCCACAACATGTTTGCGAAAGTCTATTTGACTGCCAATGTCCTACCTCAATGCGGATGCTATGTCGTTCAAACATTGGCAAGCCCCCAAGCACCCCAGGTCTCTCCCGCCTTTGATCTGTTACTGTTCTCTCCACCTTCGCACACCTGCGCTACATCCAGCTCAAGCCATTCGAGTGTCGGTCAGATCCCGCTCCGAGCCGTGGCGGAGCTGCCAGGAGATGGCGTGGCCTCGTACCAGTACGGCCAAGGCTTCTTGACCTCTCAATGGACCTTCGAGCAGGCGAGCGCGAAGTCGGAGCGAAGCCGGAGCTCGGAGTCACCGTGGGGAGCTCGTGGCCAACAGCCAGGGCCGGTGAGGTCGGTTGGTCGATGTAACCTGGAGTCGACCCGGAACGCGTACGTCACAAAATGGGTACAGTCGTACCTGTTTTTTATGGGGTCATGTCCCATTTTCTAACCCATAGGGTCCAGGTACCTCCTTTTCGGATGGCCGAACGGAGGTGAGTTCGTACTTCCTGAGAATGGTCGAACGGGGGGTCAAAGGACATCCGATTCGGATAGTCCTGGACCCTTAGGGTAAGGTACTGGCTCAGCCGGGTCGGGCCCAGATAGGTTGCTTGGTCGTCCGAGTTGAGCTGACCCAGATCGAGCATGAGTTTCTCAACTGTCAGAGGTTCCCAGTCTCATCATCCTCCGCCTTTGCCGCAAACCAGCCAACACAGGTTGAGTGACCCTATAGACTATCCCATAGGTACCCCAGTAGGGTCCTATAAGGTCACTTAACCTCTCTTGGAGGAGAAACTCCCCACAAATGAACCATGTGGACGAAAGTCGGGAAACCCATATACCATCATATACCTGCAACCTCGTGGTTGCTTCTTTTTTTGGGGGGCGGGGTCGGTGGTTCAACATACCTTTATTTAGTTCTGTGAACCACATAAACATCCGCAACCGAAACTAACATCCGTTTAAAATCCTATTCGGGAAAACACCAATAAACGCCCTTAGCTTGTGTATAAATCCCCGTGGAATATCAAAAAAACAGAAAACTAGAGACACATCCGCAGACTCAAACATAAGGCTGTAACTCCAAAAGATGTGTTTTCACGCCGCAGATCGAAAAAGAGCACTCTGAGGAAGTTCCAGGTATGGCATCCCGTGGCACATGATATGGTGGACAGTCCACACATGTCCACACTCATAGGGATCCAATACCTTCTCAGGTATGGTGTGTTGTCTCCACTGCTATGTACTGTAGGTGCCAGGGGCGGATCCGTTTTCACACCGAACCTGAGGTGAGTTGAGTACGTTCGAGTCCGGATCCCGGTCACGTGGTTCCGCCCCGCCGTTGCCGCCAGGTCCGCGGTCGTCTACTGGACACGCCCGCCTGGAGCTCGAGTGGTCGGGTGATGGGTGACCGACGGTCGGGCGAGTTCAATCGGTGGGCACGAGCCGTTTGGCCAACATGGTATGTTGATAGATGGTCAAGTATACCAGGACCCTCCGTTTGAGGTGTTTGTGAATAGCCTCTTGGAGGTAGGTCCTGGTCAACTGGAGAATGAGGTGATCTGGGGTGCATCTACAGGATACTATACATGTCACTGTATGTATGACCTGAGCAGAGGAATATAGAGGAATCAACTCTGGGCGGCTCTTTAAGGCGTCATCTTGAGGTGCCTCACTCTGATACAATCCATGTATGGCAATATGTGCATACAATTAATTGGGGCGGTTGTTATAAAGACGTTTTAAGGGCCAATGTTGCGGAACAATGTAGGTACACTCCCTGGAACTAACATGGAAGTGCAACATGGTCCCTTGGATGACGATTTTCCTTTGCAAACGGGGGTGTTCTGTTTTCCATGTGATTATTTATGTATATATATATATTATATATGATCCCTAGCGGATTCCAACCACAATCAATGATTTACTGGTTCGTGTCGAGCCACCATCACTACAACACCAGGTCCCACCATGTTTTAAATGGCTCGGTCTCGGAAACCGGTTGATGGGGTGATGGAAGGCTAAGTAGTCCAGATCCCATGGGGAGAAGTGATGGGGTGTCATCCCGATGTTTCGTTCCGAGGTCCTTTGGACGGCCGGTGTGGATTTCCCCACGGTGGAGCCGGGCAGCCTGCTGAACAGGGAGCCTTTGGGGGGAAGTTCTGCCTTGCTCTTTGTGCAGGAGCTTCTGCTCTCATCATCCGATTTCGAACCGAGGCTTTTTTCTCGTGACCGGGCGGAGGCCACCAAAGTATCGTGGCGCCACCCACAGCTAAAAGAGGATTGTGCTTCTGGGCACCCCGACTTCCTCCAATGGGCACCCAAAGGTAGGGGATGCCCAAAAAAGACGGAACATTCATCCGAAAGGAGATCGTGGAGTGAGTTCCTTTTTTCCAGTATCCCAGTATCTCTATGGTCTTTGTCCCTCCGAGTCATAGGGAGACCCCACAGCAGCCCAAACGCCTCTTTCTCCAGGGAGTCGATGTGCTTCGTGCAGCGTTGCTGCTGCTGGGCCCCCTTGGGGACGGGGTGGTTCGCGGAGACCCGGATGGTCCCCGAAAACTGCTAAGGGGCTAGAATTAGATAGCCCTAGAGTGGGCCCTGATAGAGTGTTTTCTTTCTTTGTATACCCCCTAAACCTCCAACCATATCCTTAGAAGGTGGTTAGACCCCCCTGGCACCCACCCCAACCATCTTCGAAACGGAGGTGGTTGGAGCCCTAGGGAGGGTTGAACTTTACTTTCGTTTGACCTCGGAGTTTGGGGAGAATTCCTCCGCAGGGTCTAAGGCTGAGGTAGTTTGTGGAGAGCTGACGATCGTTTTGTAGCTCTTCAGCTGCTCATCATCTGATGCATCTTTGGGGCGGTTGAGGATATAATATTAAGTATTTGTCCATGTTCCTCAAGCAATTAAGCAAATCACCCAAAAAATGCATGCAAACTGGCTGGTTCTGACCTGAGAGCCGCCCTGACTTTGGCTGACCTGGGCCTCTCGAGCGTCACGAGACGACGGCGGCGCGACGGCACAAGTCCCTACACTTCGTTTGGGGCAAATCCATCCGTGGCCCAGAAGTCTTTTATGACGTGTCCTAGTATATCCCTTCTAATGTCCTAGAACCATACATGTGTTTCTGATGTTTGCAAATTGACCATAAGATACCATAAGATTTTATAAATCGAAGTCGTCCAAAGTCTCACTTGGTCCCTTCCTTTTCCTCGCCTCCGTCCATGGGCCGTGCCGCCCACGCGCATCCGTCCATGCGGACGTGGGCGTGCCGTGTGGCCAGGACATGTTTTCCTCGGAGTTCGCCTCTGCCTGGCCGCTGTGGCGCGCAGAGCAGCTGCAAAAGCAGCTGGGAGGCAAACTGCTCGTAGCACAGAGCATCACTGCTGAGAAGCGCGAACTCCTTCAGGTTGGGGAGCGAGCTTCAGCTCGAAATCGACACCCGACGTGAAGGGTTTTGGTCTATGATAATTCAAACGATTTAAATTAGGTATGTTTTGGAATTCAGGTATGGTTTTGGTTTGTTGTAGTTTGTACATCTTGCATACGGTGGTGTTGAGTATGGGCGCTAGATTCTTCTCAGGAGTATGTGCCATTCTTCCAGAAGTTGATATAGTTTCCAGAAGTTGCTATGTCTTGGATGTAAATGGAACATTACAATGGTTCCTCGCGACGTCCTACGAGTTGATGCACATGTTTTCTTGTTCCGAACTACTACACCATTGCGTCGCTCCTCCACCCCCAATTCCGCATCTCCGCTTTCAGCCACCGATTCCGCACCGAGCAAGCCGAGATCGACGGTGAGGAGTTGCGTGTGCCCGGGCTTGAGTGGCATAGCTGGTCTGATTGGGACTCTCAGGCGGGCTTTGCGGTAGGATGAAGTGGGATTGGTTGGTGGTCTTAGAGAAGAGCGCTGGCTGGCAGCTCTGGAAGTTTGGTGGAAGAGCTTACAACAGTCTCAACGTGGCATCGAAGGAGTGAGCAAGATTGGTGTGATGTTTTAGTGGATTATTCTTTTGCAGATGGCATGAGTCAAGGCAGTGAGGAAGAACATGGAAGAACTATAGTAATATACTGTAAGATCCCAGAGGCATTCCTGGACCATGGAGCTGAATGGTTTCTACCGCAGCGTGAAAAAGCCCAGAAGACCTCGGATGGTATTCCCTTGTTGGACACAGATTTAAAGGATCTACTTCTTCAAATGTTTCACGACAACGTAGAGCCGATCTCCAAACGTTGACGAAGGGGTTGCAAAACCATTGTTTGGGAAGCACTATTCCCCCACTTGGGAATTGCCTGGTGCTTCCTGACTTGGTTCGGCCAATTTAGGAAAGAACAGCCGGGCATGTCCATTATAGGGCCATACAAAGCCGCAGTGAGAGGAGTGTTGGGTTGGGGGTTGGGGCGGGGCAACGGCATTTTCACCTGGGTAGGGAACATCTTATCCCCTGCTTTCGCCTATGTCAACAGAGGTTGCCTGAAAATAGGACCCGAAATAGGATCCCAATTACTGGGGTACCGGTTCCTGGGATAGTCGAACCGTCGGGTTCTCCAAAACCTCTGTTGGGACCTCCGCTCGCCTGGCGCAGGCTCTTTTGCCCAGCCATCTTTGTGCCAGCGGGACGGATCCTTGCGAGGGCTGCCGTCCAGAGGGGCTGTCGGGGGAGGCTGGACCGAGCAGCCTTAAGACGGTTCGTGACTTGAAGACATGAACCAGCAGTCACAAAAGGGTGCGATCCATGGAGGTTAGGGGTGCCCATTATCGCATCCACTCACGTAAGGGAACGAGCCACACCACCCGTACTTGTGACTCCTGGAAGATTCTCCTTGTTTGTTTGATCAGTCTGAAGAACCTCTGGCCTACTTGTTATATAATTATACTTGTTTGTCTATTGTGGTAACTCTTCATGTCCGTGGTGCATGCCAATAGGGGGAGCTCAATGCATAGCAACCACATTCCGGAGATGCAGCCCTTACTTGTATCAAGGGTATGGGTCACCGTGATTCAGGTCGTTGCCAAAGGTTATGTGTGCTTTGGCCAATGTACCATGCTTCAGACACGACTAATGGGACTGTAAGACATGCCGCCCCATCGACCGTCCCCGGAAACGACCAAGGCAAGCAAATATATCCCAATACATGGAGTGTTTGGGTATTGGACACTTAAACCACCGGTCCCAACCATACCCTTTTGCAAAGACGGAATCGGAATCGGCGGAGGGTGGGGTTCTCGGAGGCCCCTGACTGACCAAAAAGTCGAACCCTGCAAACAATCATGCAATCATGCACCGGACTGGGATGGCCAGTCCTCCTCAACAACCCAACACCACCATCTCGATGTGAAGTTGATGGCTTTTGCGGAATGATAGGCTTTACCTTTCCACATGTCAGTGGCAGGCGCAATGTCCACCATGCACCAGATGACTTAGTAAATATCACAGATTCTTTCACCCTGAGTCACACATAGTCACTCTCACTCACCCCTTTGTGCCAATCCCTTTTTTGGATCTGCCGACCCCACCAGAGGAGAACTCCCAAACTCCAACGACGGTCGGGCAGGTCTTGCGTCTCCGCCACCCACTGCTGCGGCGTTCCGAGGGCTGCCACGACTCCCCAGAAATCCGGCGGCTGGTGGAGGAGCTCACCGAGTCAGTGCCAGAAAAGCATTCGAACAGCGGTCCCGTGGGCGGGACTGGGGAGGAAGCTGCTTGGGATGGTTTTGGGGTGGGATGGGCGGAGAAAAGGCGAGACAAGTGGGTTTCCCTGATTTTCCTCAGCTGCCTAAGAGTGGTTGCGTGTGATTGGGTAAGGAGTTTCACGGAAGGACCTTGTGCAAGATGGCGCAAGTTGTTGTTTGTATTTTTTTTGTTTTTTTTGAACCCGGTCGTGCGGGTTCACTTCGGATGTTGGTTCGAAGTCTGACCTCGAATCCTGCGGGCCTCGTGTGCAGAGAGAGAGAGTCAGCTGCTGCTGTAATGCATCAACTTGCACCTACTAGCAGGCAAAAGAGGAGGAAGGTAGTCCCGGTATTCTCCAAACCCCCTTAGGTGGGTGGCCAAGTTGCCAAGAGCGCACTTTTGATACTTCTTTTTCAGGGGGGAAAAATGTAGCAGCTAAGTTTCATGACTTGTTTAGCTCAGCTGGAGCCACTGAGTAACGATAGAACTGAGGACACTGTGTTTTTAAAGGACCTTGTGCCGCGATATTTGGTCCCTTTGGACTTCCAAGCAGTGTGGGAAGGTTGTGGGTAGCATACACCCCCCCTCGCACCAAGTCGGACAGTGGTAACTGCAGAGTAGCTTTGAATGATCCATGATGCATCCCAGAGGATCCATGTATGGGATAGTTACCTGCATTCAACCCCAATGTAAGGAAATATGACATACATGGAGTGTGGCATGATCCAATTCCATTCCCACCAACAGAGGTAGACAGTGACCTGAACAAGGACCCATATCCTGGGGTACAGTCATGGGATCGTCGAAGAGTCGGGTTCTGAAAAGCCTCAGTTGGCAGAATGAAGGGCAAAATCTGGGGTCACGGAAGAGTTTTGCTTGTTTCAGTGCAGGGATGCCATTGTCCTGGTTTCTTAAGCAAATCCAAGTAATGCAGACTGTTGAATACTGTTGATGAATATCTCCCCTGATGGTGTTTGACATTGGTTTTATTCATCAACTGTGTACAGTGTACATTACTGTAATAGGTTCAGAGGATTTGTCACAACACAAAGAACTAATATTTTTCTGCCCAGCCGCTGTCTCGTTTTTGGTGCCAGCTGGCAGGCGCATTGATGGCCAAGTTGTGCCGGGCACTCTTTCAGATGGCGATCGGCACGAAGAATCATGAAGTTTACCGATATTCTCATGCCCAATCTATTGTTGTTATTGCCCAATCCTTACGAATCCCTAACACTCCATGTATTCCATATTTGCCTACATTGGGGTGGTTGAAAAAGAGCTCGATGGAGACATATATACTCCGCAAAGAGGGTATTACTTTTGTCCAGAAAAAGGAGGGTCCTCCGCGGCAAATGAGGGTCGACTGCTGAAACTAAAACCATCCATGCAGCAAGTGGAAGATTGACCAACATTGACGCATTTGGACCGCATGTCAACCACCTCAACGTACTATTTGTAGGTACCAGCACCCTTCGTTTGAGGTGTCTATACATTGCCTCATAGAGGTTAAGGGGTGTCCAAAAACCACCTGTTGGAAGGTCTTGGTACAAAATTCCATATGTGGATTGTTTGGAGTTCCGTTTGCCCTAGGTTTCACCCCACACTTCAGCCCCAAGCTGTCCCTGAACATTCCGGAATCCAGCATCTGCCAGCTTGCATAGACTGTAGACCCCCAACGTTCAGTGGGTGAGACCCTAGGGCCAACGATGGCCAACGGGTAAGAGCGACAAGAGAATTTGGAACAGACCCCATGAGACCCCAGTAGGTTGTCCTGGCTGGTAGGTCAATCGGTCGGTCTCCTGGTGTTAAACCCCCAGAAGTGAAGATGCCGCTTTTCATCGTTACACGTGTCTCGCGCTCCTCGGCCCAAGCTGGCTCAGAGTCAGTTGGAAGACAACTCATTTTTAGATCTTCCCCGAAGCTGCCTGGTTTGAACACTAGAGAGATGGCAAGACACAACCATGCAGGACCTGTGGATGGCCGTTGAATTTAATAAAACAGCACAACATGACACCGAAGAAGGACGACGCAGCCACGCCCAGTCGAAGAAACAGGATGACCTGCAATGCATCCGGGCCATACAGCCATGCTGTCCATCACCGATCGGATGATCAAAGGCTAAACGAACAGGAGTCACCAAGGGGTAGTGTAGTCGTCCCATCCAGTGAGTGGATGTAGCACCTCTATTCCTTCATGGATCGCACCCCAACATGCTGGTAAAACACCCACATATGTAGAATCACAACAATATACCATTATTTTAAACAATCCTTACTATAGGACCCACAAGGGGTGGTTAATGGACACTCCTTCACATCTAAGGGGGCTATCAATAGAAGCCCCTGGTCCGGGTGTCCTGGTATAACACTAGCACACCAATAGCAAAGATGGCCTGGGGCCATGAACCCCAGCTTTTTCTGACATCCGTTGGACTGATTCGCCCAACCAGCCGTCCGCCCGATGAAGCGACGAACAGCAACGGCAGAGGCCTCCGAACGGGGCCGGAGCCCGGGGTTTTGGGCGTTGCAGCAACTCCGGTGCAGCTCCCCATCCACCCAGACCATCCACCTGGTTTTGCCGGATCAGGGTGATTGTCAAATCATAATCCCCTTTTGCTGAAGATGTTGTGTGTTCTCTTTTTGTCCGGGTTCCTGGACAGCAAATCCAAGGATATAATGCGTATAATGGGCCCCAGTTTTTTCCTGGCGCACTTCTGCCGGACACCGCGACACCGCGCCAGGCAGAGGAGGCCTTCTCGGCGCCGAAGAGGCGCTTCTGCAGCAAAGCCTCCTTGAATGGACCACTGGAACAGCCCGGGAGTCCCAGAGGGAGACATGACTGGACAGGGCCGTTTTTGTTGGGTGGCGAGATCCGATGAGATCCAGTGGCTGAGGAAGAAGCACAGGTCCCAGAGGGTACGAGACAGGACGGGGCGCGCGCGCATGTATAATTCGGTGGCCAGATGAGATGATCATCTTCAGCCGGTGAAGAGGTCATGAACAGGTCGACTGTTCTGTTCGGTCACGAAGTTCGGCAATCCTGAAGGTCGGTCACGACGGGAAGGTCCTGGATATGATCACCCAGACGCGACCTGGACCTGGGACTGCCAGGACGGACTGCCGATCAATTGACCCCTCTGGCACCACCCCAACTGATCGGCATATATATATATATATATGGCAGTCCCATGGTGTCTGGATGATATCCGATGAGATCAGGTGGGACAACTGGTGACGATCAGGCCGGACCTCCTTGAAGGTCGCTTCTGCATGAAGAGCAAAGAAACAAGGTCTCCAGCTGTCACAACCGGGGGCCATCCTTGCGACTCGGAGATGAGGGGTGTTCCCGTCACATCCACGAATCCACTCACTGGGGAGTGGCTTAGCACCACCCAACTCCGAGGTGACTTCCAGTTCGGAGAGTTTCTGAGAAATTGATTCACAGTGACCATCCAATGACTGCAAGTGCTCAGAAACTGCAAGTGCTCTTCGAACAGAGGCTCACCTGTGGACCGTCGCGTTTCAGAGCGTCTTCGCACCGAGTTTCAGCCGCCGAATGGGACCAAGGTGTGAAGGGTCGAAGTCAACTCACCGAGTCAACTCACATAGACCCGGGTCCTGGCTGGCTCCCTGGGTCCGAGTGTTTTCCTCTACCAAGCAGGACTGTTTCAGGGTCGGAATCGTCGCCACCATGTACCAAAACGATCCCCCGGAGTCCCGGAGTTCCACGGTAAAATGTATACATTAACCCGGTCCGGCTTCCTTTCGGTTCGACTATTCAAAGAGGAGTTCGGTTCGACCATGGGTTTTCGTCGTGTACTTGTCCGTAAAACAGCTGGTGGTTCGGGAGTCGGGCCTTTAAAACAAGGGTTGGCCAGGAAGCCTAGGGTCAATATTCCCCTACAAGTCCAAAGACCCAGTAAAACCTGGTCTTTTACCTCCTTAAGTATTGGTTTTGCATGACCATCTCCAGTAAAATGAGGTCAGACTGACTTGTAGGGTTCACCAAAAAGAACCACCACTTGTAACAGTCGGGTAGCGCCAGAGATGGAAAGGCCTGCAACCGTCGGCCCCATCATCCACTGAAACCTGGGATAGACCGGTCTACCTTTGATCATTGCATTTGGATGTACTGGTTAGGTCTATCCCAATACCAGCAACCTAACCAGTATAGACCTAACCAGTATAGTACTCTTTTGATCGAAACGGCTTTAAAACTGACAGAACTTAAGGATCATCCGCACCTTTTTCACGGTGTTTTTCATGGGTGCCTCGAAACCAACCTGTTAGGTTGCCACAACACCTGTGCCATGTCTGTGGAAAAAAACAGCCTTCGCAGCATGTGAGGCTGCATGCTAGAGCCCAGGACGGCGGATGGGTTGTCTTGAGTCTTGAGTGAGGCATGAGAGGCATGGCCCCACAAGAAGTCAGACCCCATGTTTCTTCCGCAACTGAACCATATGGGGAAGGTTAAAACCAAAACCTGGTCTTCAACTAAGTCAGATGCCATCCACTCTTCCATGTGTTTAACATTCCTGTCCACTGTCCACCGCAAAAAACTCCGCGCACGGACGAGTAGCGGCATGATCGTCCAGAGTGGCGCCAAGAACGAACGCCAAGGTCCTCTCCAACTCTAGATCCCCTAAGGGTCCAGGACTATCCTGAGGATGTCCTTTGACCCCCCAAGACCATTCTCAGGAAGTACTTTCACCTCCAAGGCCATCCTCAGCAGGTACCTGGACCCTATGGCCCTATGGGAGAAGCAACTCTTCTACGGGCCGCACCGTTTGGTCTCTTTGCTTTACACGGCACGGCACGGCGCCCCGTGCTGCGTCCGTCCGATCCACAGGACCTCTTGGAGACCGCCCGCGCACAGCGCACGGCGACCAGCCGCGCGGCACAAGAGCGGCAACACGAGGAAGAGGTGCGGACGTGCGTGCGGACGTGCGGCCGTTTGCCATGTGCCGTTGCCCATTTCCCTGTGAGGCATGTGACATGTTCGCACCCCGACGACCGACATTAGGCACCCCGTGGCATGTGACAGGTGAGTGGATGTGGAAATCCGTTTGGTCGAAAAGAGATGCACCCGACACTGCAGTCCTAGAGATTATAATATATTATTATACCCTAAGGGTCCAGGACTATCCTGAGGATGTCCAACTATCTATGTCCTTTCTGAACCCATAGGGTCCAGGTACCTCCTTTTCGGATGGCCGAACGGAGGTGAGTTCGTACTTCCTGAGAATGGTCGTTGCCGGGGGGTCAAAGGACATCCGAGCAACGGATAGTCCTGGACCCTTAGGGATTATAAGTAGATCCCGAACGAACAAATGTGGCCTCGGAGCTGTCTTTTTTTTTTTCCGGTCGGCTTGGCCTACGTTCAGCACCAAGAACTAGCAAATTGGTAGGCCATATTTGCATACATGGGGATTAGATGTATTGCATGCTCGATTGAATAGAATGGATCCACTTTGACAACCATAGGACCATGGGTGACGAGTGATGCAGTATGACTCCTGATGCCGCCCCCTGACCAGTAGCCTCCCCCCAAATCCGGTTCTGCACGACGTTTGTCAGGCCGAGCGAAGGGAATTGGAGGCGGTCCAAGCAAGGCATGCAGAGGCACAAGAGTGTCTTGGCGACGGCCAGGGTTGCGGTGTTGTTTCGTGCTGATGAGGTTGCTTCATGAACGACCTGCCACCGGGTCAACCGGTCGCTGGGAGTCTCCCATGTGAATGGGGACTGTGTTGAGGCCCCTGATCCGTCGCGATAAAAGGCCCCTGATCCATCCTGATCCCTGTGCGTTGGGATGTTTCTCACATGATTTGGTATTCATCCCAAAGAGCATCTCAGCTAAGGCGGTCAAGGATGTTGCTGATCTGCGCGTGATAACTATACATGATTGACGGAAGAACTCCTGAAGTTTTCTGGACACGGAACTCATCCACACGGGCCAGACCGGCACAACAACATTTCACATCATTTCACCAGATGCCAGATACAGTGGTTTCAGAGTAGATGGCACAGACCTCAAGATGTCCTTTACATGGTGGTTCATATAAACCACGTCTTGGGGTTTGTGCCATGTACTCTCAATCCACGCACTATAGTTTAAATTCCGATCTTCCCATTCAAAGAGGGAATTCCAAGAACACTTGCAGTTCATGTAGCTTGTGGAGAAACACTCTTGCGACCACCGCAAAGTGCAATAGAAACCTAAAAAGTGCCCGGCCAACCACAAAGAAAGGCCCCACAGAAAGACTCCACTAAGATGCACTCTTTCAAACCCACGTGTTTCTACCACGCCTGGTATGTTCTTCGTGCATCTTCGTGGACCGAGGCGCCGTCGGGCGGCCCAAGCTTCACTGGAAGAGGCACGCAAGGCCTTAGAGGCTGCACACGCGGAGGCGCGCGGCCGGGGCGGTGTGGCTCTGCAGGGCGGGTGTGGAAGAGGGGGGGTCTCGGAGCGACCTTGTGGGTTTCTGTTGGGTGAAGCACTGGCCTGTGAACTGGCCGTGGGTTTCGTTGGTTTGAACACTCATTGACGTTGAGAAACGACCAGACTTGGCCCCAACTTTTTGGGAAGATCTGGCGTGTGAAGCTGAAGTAGAAGCATGTACCAGGGCCTTGTGGCTGGGTGTTGAAGAGCTTGGCGCCTCAGACAGAGGTGATTCCGAAAACTACCATGAAGATCCATGAAGCACCTAGCTCCGTGAAGCACCCTCAGGACTGCCATGGGATTGCCATATTTGCTGACGGAGTGGTGATCCGGGATCAATGTTGGCTATCCCTAGGGCTCCACTCGTACCGTGAGGGTGCGCTGAGCCAGGGGGGGTTATATACGACTGGAGCGGGGTCCCCACCAAAGAAGGATATGGTTGAAGCCCTTGAGCATCACCCACACACTCAATGGGACTGCCATAAATGAATTGGGGTGGTGGTGCCAGGGGGGTCTGTCTGGGGCGGCAGTCCGCCCTGGCAGTCCCAGACAGGTCGTGTTTGGGTCACGCAATTGTCAGACACATGACCGGCACGCGCAACAGCTTCGTCCGCCGTCGGTCTCAAGACCGCGGGAGCGGGGCCAGCTCAACGGAATAGCTGCGAGAAGCGACCACAGCGGCCACAGCGGAACAGCTACAAGAAACATGAGTTCGTGGTTGTGGCACACCTTTGCAGGATGTTTCAGCGAAGGATATCCAAGGTATTCCAAGATGATATTCAATAGGAGACTGCAAACAGGGACCGGGTGCGCAAGCGCAAAGAGCCCATTCAGAAAAAGAAAGGCACCGGCACCACATTGACATATATATATATATACCAATAACCCCCACCCACAGAAACAGAGAGAGAGAGAGAGAGGCCTTCCATTCTAAAGAAAAGGCGTATCTCATCGCCCTCTTCAACCTTACTTACTTAGCTCTCCCTCCCTCCGCCATGGACGACGCCAGCGATGTCAGCAGCGTCAGCGGCGTGTGTCCACCCTTGCCGCCGTTGCTTCAGCAACGGTCCGTGGGCGGTCCACTTGGACCGAGAGGCAGGGGAGCTGGGTGCGTCGGTGTCGAGGGTGTCGGTGTGGTGCTCGGGGTGTCGAAATAGGCCCCAGGGCGGCCCGAAAGCGACGGCGCGCACGTTTGGTGGCACTTGGGGTGGTTTGTTTAAAAGACATTGTTTAAACATAGATCTTTGGGGAGGCGATAGATTTGGGATCCATGCTTTGAGCGGGCCACTGGGGGGGGGCATTTCGTACAGATTCGCAGCTGAGAAATCCCAGCTTGCTTGAGTCTTGAGCCCTTATCAAAGTTGGTGAGTCTGACTTCACGTAGACTCTTGATTAATAACCCCCCCACTCAGGTCTGTAAAACCTCTTCCAACTGGGGTGTTTTATGGTGCTTTACATGCGCATTTCCAGAAAGAGAGTCTGCATTACAGTGATGTGGGATGGCCTTCTCCACAGCTAGACTGAGGTTTCATCTCGGGTCCTTGCTTCTCCAGGTGACATGGTCCAACCCACGGTGTCCGGCTTAGATGGTTCTGATGCCGACCTGCGCGACGCTCGGGCTGGGAAGAGTGGCGGGCGTGGCGACCTGGCGTGGCTGTGGGTCGTCGGAAGTCGATCCGGGAAACCGTGATGGAGTGGAATTGACAGGGCACCCCGACAGGGGTTGTCCCAAACCGGAGATCTACGACGGTATAGGGCATGTGATGGCTGAAAACCGTATACATCCGACAGGGTGATTCTTGGATTTTTGTATGGAAGACGGTTTCATGGTTTTTCCAGGTGGGGTTAAAGACCCCCTACCCATGTTTTGCCCATGGTTCAGGTTCTTGCAGCATTTCCATGATCATGTCGAGCGGACAATTCATGACAATCGTTGAAGGACCCTATAGACTATATCCCATAGGTACCCCAGTAGGGTCCTACAAGGTCACTTAACCTCCCTTGGATTCTATAGTCCATCTCGAAGGGATTCGCTCAACCAAAAACGGTCTACAGATCCGACAGATTTCTGGAGATCCCTGGAGCCTGGAGAGCTGGAGGCCGGAGGATGATCTAATGACTCTTCCCCAACCTGCCAAAAGACTACCAGCACCTTCAAAGGGGTCTCCAATGGGAGGTCCCTTAGTGGTGTAGGGGCTTCCAGCCAGGTGACCCCTTTGAAGGTCCCCTTCCACATCCAAGCCTCCGGACTCTGCGGATCGCCAGTGCCTGCAGTGTCACCGAGAGATTTTCGAGGAGTGGGGAGGGGACACCCCACTCAACTACAAGAACCCTAGGTCCATACAGTGGTTTCCAGAGTAGATGGCACAGACCCCATGATGTCCTAGACAGATGGGGATCCAGACCACCTGCCGACATTGGGGTCTGTGCCATCTACTTCCTCTCAATTCACTTTAGATAGACTTCCTTCGGTTCACCGGCCGTCTCAAGAGCCCGATCTCCGCTCCAAGGACTTCATCGATCAACGGCTGCAGGAGCTGCTGCGGCGCCTGGAGCTGCATGAGACGCTCCTCAGGCCGAGCACCACACGACCTGACCACGGTGTATACAACGCGACGCCGGTTGCGCGGCCGAGGGTGCCACATCGGTGGGGGTACCAACAGAGAGGTTGAAGAACCCGGTTCGGCTCGACTGTGCCATGTGTTACGGGTCCTTTGTCAGGTCACTGAACCTCAGGTGCGGTAGTTAGAACCCCACTGGCACCTACCCCAACCACCGAACAAAGGATAGGACAGGTAGGACAGGAGCCCGAGAAGAACGAGAGGTCAACGAAAGCATCCATGAAAGGTCAGGGTCTGGCCGACGTGCGACTAGACGTGCGCCACAGTTGTGGCCTCGGGGTCTGCGACGAAGGACGTGGGACCGAGGTATTGGGGGATGCCTTTCCCTAGGGCTCCAAGTACCTCCTTAGAAGGTATTTGGACCCTCTAAACCCACCCCAAACACCTTCTAAGAAGGTCCGACTGGAGCCCTAGGGTTTGGGATGCCTTTGGGCTGAAGGGAACTGAAGGGAACGGAGTTGTTGGAAAGAAGGTGGAAAGAAGGTGTGGAATAGGTGTAGAGTTTTGCTTATTAGTGTTTTTTTTCTCCCGCTCTGTTGTCAGCATGGCGTGTATTGGTGAAATTAATTTGGTGTTGTGGACATGTGGGTTGTGGTGGGCAATGAAAGCTTCCATCATTTCCGACATGTTGGCAATCAAGAAGAAGACAGCGTTTTAAGTTTGGAGGCTTGGCCAAGCGTCCCATGCATGCCCAAGTCAGTAGCCAATCATTGTGCGTCAGTGTATAAGCTTAATTTCCTTTCTTTATTCTGGTGGAGCAGTGCTGCTTTTGCAGAGGTCCGGGACTGATTAGTAAACTGAGACAAGTTAGTCAGGGCTGTTTTCCTGTCCGGATTGCTGAAAGTGAACACCCTGCGTCACCTTTGTTCGAGGCTATTCACATAACTAACAGGGTGCCCCACATGTTACAAGTCAGGCACCTGGCCTTCATGATGGGCATCTATATATCCTAGACCATCCATGTATGTATGGCCTATCTATAGGGCCTATATGGGCCTATATATGACTACATTGGCATGGTTTCAGGGGTCAAGGTAGGCATATATGGCAGTCCCATGGAGTGTTTGAGATAAGTAGTGTTTTCCAGCTGTTGTGGGTTGCTCAACCTTCACTGAAATGTTTACCCACTTCTTGGCTCCAGAATTCCTCCTTCCATTCAGCAACAACCAACTCGATACTGTCGCTCCAAGAAGGTGGGACTGGGGTGGGTGCCGAGAAGCATCCAAACACCTGAGCAGGTACAAAAGGAGCCCCAAAAAGGGTGTAGATCCTCCCCAATCCCAACAGAGGTTAAGTGACCTTATAGGACCCTATCAGGGTATTTAGGGGATAGTCTATAGGGTTCTTCAACCTTTGTTGGTCCCCTTACAATTCCCCGCTTTCTCCACTCACAGGCAGCTGGCACAGCCACAGATCTCCAACAAGACCGAGGGAATGAGTGGCGTGACGGCGGGCGGAAACGGTGATGATAGGGACGGGACGGGTGTTTTCTGAGGAGAACATCCGTACCGGCCGTGGTGTCGGCATTAGTGAACATCTATATTGGTGTGCTTTACTTAATAATTTGCTTAAACATGTTTAAACATTTTTGCATATGAAGGTCGTTTCTTTCAGGATATGGTTGTGTTTGGCTCCTTTGACTCTAACTTTATCGTTGTGTCTCTTTTAGTTGTTTGCTTGGACGTGTTTGTTTTCCCATTGGCATGTTTACTTATAGTAGTTTGGTCCCTCTCATGTCTTCTTGCTTCAATTGGTCCGTGTGTTGTTGGTTCCCTCCCGTGGTGTGTGTGTGTCAAATCCTGTTCCTAAGGACCCCTGACACCACTAGTAGGTTTAAATGTGCAGCATAGCACTGGGACTGCCTGACTCTTTAACAGCGGCAGTCCAACGAAGAGGCTGTTTGAGTCACTGACATGGTGATATGGATTCTGGACGCAGAATCCACGTACCTGCTTTTCCATTTGTGGCGCTTTCAATGTGGCACACTAATCTTCCGGTATAAGACTTCTTCACCTTCCCGTTCCCGCAGCCAAGGTCTATTGCAGCAATGTCAAGTGCTAATGCACCGGTGAACCACTAACTGATTAAGCTCTTGTGAGCATGGATCTAAGTGTTTCCTTTGTTTGTGCGGTATTACTTTTTGCGTATTTTTTCGTGTTCTACTGGCCCACTGCTGAAGGTGATCAACACCTGTGTCAACTGCCAACGCATGTCACGAAACAGGTTTTGCAACATGTAAATGAAGCAGTATAGTGCTTTTCCATATACATTGTAATATTATACAACATACATTGCACCAAACACCATTATAGCAGCACCCAATCAAGCAGGCATAAAAGGTGTCACC